TGTTAATATTATGTTCTAACCATATCTTGCACGTATCCGATATAATTTTCTGAAAAATAAAACCTTCAAAATGGATATAAGATTTAGTTTATAATCATTGAATTTCATAAAATCAAGCATTCAGATGTATAATTTTCTACTTGTGTCCAATTTTACTATTAACATAGACTTTTTGTGTCTGAAAAGGCAAAAGGTTTTTTTTTTTTTTTCCTTTTTGTATTTTAATTTCAATTATAATATATTCTAATAAATCAAGGAAGCCTTGGCTTGACATCCAAGCAAATGTCCTTTACATTCGGATTTGAATCTTACTCTTGCCCCTCTGGTTAAAGAATATTAAGTTTCTTATAAAAATAATAGGGAAAACTCTACAATCAAATGCATAAAATCAATCTATTGATTAAAGGGCATTAAATTTATTACAAATATACAGATAAACGTTGCAATCAAATATAGAAAAATCAACTTGTACTTGACAAGGTTGAATGAAAGAATAAACAATATCAATTAATTGTCCATAGACTTAGTATAAATAAACGGTTCAATCAAAAATAGAAAATTCAACATGGATTTGACAAATCTAAATGAAAGAATTAGCCATATCAATTAATTATAGATATCGTTGCAATCAAATATTAAAAAATCAAACAGCTCAGAATGAAAGAATTAGTTATATTAATTAATTTGCTATAGATTTACCATAATTATAGATAACTTGCAATTAAACATTAAAAAATCAATCTGTATTTGACAACTCAGAATGAAAGAATTAGTTATATCAATTAATTGGCTATAGATTTACCATAAGTAATATGTTATGTCTGTAACAAACTATCCATCCAATAGTAAAATCCTTTCTTTCGCAAAATGCAAAGCAATAAAAAATGTTAGGCTCCTTTTATTTCCGAATAATAACTTATTTTTGAAATATTTTTTTTGTAACTTATTTTCTACCGTTTGTTTAAATATGAAATATGAGTTAAAAAAATATTAGAATTTAACATTTAAATAGCAAAATAAAAAATTGAATACGGATACTAAGGGAAGAAGTCTTCAATGTCTCATTCAAACCCAAAAATTATTTATAATCGAAGTCATAACAAATTCTTGATAGTCAAAGAAAGAAAAATGGCTAAATAAATAAATTTTATGGTGATTTTTTCTCTAGAAGTTCCAAAATAGGATTCTAATTCCCAAGGAAGATTGAACAAATATCCAAATTAGGACTAATGATATATAATTATTTAATATTAATGAATCATAATTTAATTTATATCACGTTTATTAATATTAGCTCTATTCAACAACAACTGAGGTAGCGTTTAGCATTTTGACTAAAATCAATATTATCTTTATTCCTTATAGTATTCGGTAATATAATATTTGTGAAGTGTTTAGAATTTGAGGGAGCAGATTGTGAAACATTATTCTCTCGAATGTTTAATGCTAGCTAAACAACTAATAACTACTGAAACAATTAACTTTGCCTAAGTCTTGAGTTATTTAACATGATATGAATGAAAACAAAATTAAGTATTTGTGGCCCTTCATGCATTGGAATTGTATTGAAAACAAAATTTAAAAGTTATTTTCTTTGTTGATAAATATAAATTATTTTGGAGGAATTTCGTTATTCACAAATATAAGTCAATTGGAGAATATTTAGAAGTAACTAATAATGTCTTTTCAATTTTACCCTTACTTATATTAAATATAATAATTATTTTTATAATTTTTTAAAGAAAAATTTAGTCAAATTAATAAATATTTTAATATAATTTAGAAAAATTAATTACTTTTTTAATCACTACTATGACTTATATCCGTGAATAGAGGGATTAAAATTAAATATTGTTGGCAAGCGTTTAGGATCGAACGAGGAGTAAAAAAAAAAAAAGAAAAAGATAAATGAGCAGGTGTGGGTGTAATTACAGTTTTACTGCATATTAGGCAGCGGAGGTGTATATAAGCTGACTCCAACTCTTCAATTTGAATCATATTCAAAACAGAAAGTCACTACAGTGAAACGTTGAAAGATAAGAGAGGAGGGAGGGAGGGAGGGAGGGCCAAGAGAGAAATGAAGGGAAGAAGAGAAGGAATTCGATCGTTGATGAAAATGTTCTAACGGATGAACATTTCTTCATCTTCAGAAACCTTCTCTTCCAGGTATGTATCTAATTTCATTGAGTTTTTCAAATTTTCCTGAAAAATGAAATGAGAGCAAGAATTTTAAGTAAACGTAATAACATAAAAAATATATTAAATTACTTTGTAACGTTAGAATACCTCGTCTTCTTTCCTTTTCTTAAATTTTGGAAACTTCGAATTAGCGACATTACTTATTTCAGTTTCAACAAACGGAATTCTTCTTCGTGAAGCAAATCAGTAATTCTCCCATAAATAAATATTTAAGCACCGAAAAATGGCAAATCATTTTTAAATTTGCATCAGATTCCCTAAAATATTAATCAAGCGAAAAAAAATTACATTCTATTATTTAACAAGATGTACACATGTGACTGTAAAAGATAATTTTTATTTATGGAGTCTAACATCTTCTTGACATTACCACGGCCAAGAAGAAAGAGATTTCGAATTGAAAGTACATAGAAATTTATTATTTTCTAATAGCTTAACAAATTTTTATGCATCAGGTGGAAGTTCAAACATCCCTAATAAAAAATACAAATCGATTTTAGAATACACAACCTCAAATCTACAAATCGATTTGAGGTTGTGTATTCTAAAATCGGTTTGTATTTTATCAGGAATATTTGAACCAACTCCATATGTATGAAAACTTGTCAAGTTATCAGAAAAGAATTATGAATTTTTATCTACTTTCACTTTCAAATCTCTTCTTGGGTGCGATACTGTCAAGAAGATGTTAGGCTCCATGAGTCAACATCTTTAACTGTCAGGTGTGTGTATGTCCTGTTGAACTATAAAATGTAACTTTTATTTGCTTGACTGATATTTTGATTTGATGCAAATTTATAAATTATTTGTCATTTTTCAGTGCTTTATTATTTATGGAACAACTACTGATTTCCTTCACGAAGGTTGCGTATTTTGCAACTGCGATGGCTAATGTTGTTAATTTGCAATTTCCTAAATTTTTTGAAGGAAAAAATATACAAGGTATTCCAACTTTGCAAAGTGTTTTAGTATATTTTTTATCTTATTACAGTTACTTAAAATTCTTGTTCTTATTTTATTTTCTAGGAAATTTTGAATAATTCAATAAAATTAGATGACATTTTAATCAAACTTGGTTGGTCAGAAGAACAAGAGCACGCAAAAGAAGAGATTTCTACCTCTATAAATTATGTAATACTATACGACAAAAAGTTTTGGGTTATCTTTGATTTTATTTTTATAGATCATCGGTATCCGGACCCTATTATCAGAGACCGTTTAATTCGGCTAGAGACTTAATCACAGTTAAGGCTGCTCGCCTTCTATGTGAGTACATTTGGTGGGGACCGAACCAAAAAATTCTTTTCACATGCTCAACCTGCGTTGTCAATTGAGCCACAACCTATTGGTTGTATTAATCTATTTTTAAATATAGGCTTTATACTAAAAAAGTCTTGTGCATTGAATATAATGTTTTGAATTAGCTTACTAATATCTTATGCATGGAATATATTATGCTCAGAGTTGAAGGTAAGATTTATATTTAGAGGGCAAAAATTGAACATGTAAGTTAAGATTGAAGAAATACATTGTTTGATTGGTGAATGAAGATCGAAGAAATTACAACCATGAATCCTATAATTTCACAACTAATACCAACAATTATTTAGAATTTTAATTATTTTACCTATTAAAGTAGTTTTATACAATTTTTTTTAAACTAATAATTTGATTTTTATTATATTATGTTTTTCAACTTTAGGTATTACTAGTTTTTGTGTTTTAATTTTTTATATATAATATTTCATCTAATATATAATATTCTAAGCCGTTTATATTATTAATAATAATACTCAATATTGTATTATCTAATATTACTTTAGGTATTAGTAATATTCAACCGCCTTTTTTTTCCATTAAATGAAATAAAAAGAAGAAATTTGAACATCGTCATATCGTACTTGTAGAAACATTATAGAGTCGAACAACGGCCATGAATAGCAGCTAAATGAAGCAAGTCATCTCTTATGACACAAATATTACAATTTGACAATTCAATCGAATGCTTCAAATAAGATTATATTTTATATAAGTAGTTTATTATTATACTTTTTTTATAAAAATATAAAAATATATTGATCTATATTTTATATTTGTATATACTTTCCTTTTAATAAAATTTCTAGTATAATCTCTTTAAAAATAATTATTTACGAAAACACAGTTCACAAATGGAGCCGCAACGTCGTGTATCTATATACTGTGCTTGCCATGATAATTCGTAAATGGGCTTGATGATTGAGCTTAGTTATCCTTGGACTTATTACGAGTCTCGGTAGCTTTAAATTTATCTAGAATAAACGAATCATATTTAATTATTTTGTGCAGTTTTTTTAAATTTCACTAATTTGAGATTCCTTACAATTCAAATGTATTAGAACTATTACTACACCAAGTTTTTTTATACAAACGAAGTGTAAGAAAATTAAAACTTTAAAGTTTAAATACAATTAATCAATATACTTATACCTCATCATATGTAAATAATAAGAAAAGTAACATTATAAACTGTTGGAGGCATGAACTGTGATTTGATTCGTGTATTTAATCCCGTGGTTGAGATGCTCTGTTGGCTCGTTAACCTTGATAGGAAGATCACTTATTCAATTATTCGTGCATATGGGTAAGGAACTTTTGATTTTATTTAACTCCCATAACTAAATCAGTGTTTATAGTTTTAAAATTTTCAAATTAAACTAAATCATCAAATCTTCAAAACTCCAGTTTTTGGTTCGATTCGGGCTATTTGGGGCGGTTTATAAACACCCATAACAAGCAATACCTTGTTTTGAGAACGTGAACCATCAACCATTAACGAATCTAACACACAAGACACAAGGCCAAGGATACCACTTTCTCTGTGCAAGAGCAACACCACGTGTCAATACCCCATCACCTTTTCGATCCCTGTAATGGCAAGCGGAAAATCTGGAATCCCCACTCACCCAACCACGTACTATAAACTTCCTCTTTCCTCTCAATGGCTCTCCTTTGCCTTTTCCTATGCTAAGGTTTTAACCTCTAATCCTATCCTCCTTTCACATACATTGATCAAAGATAAGAATTTTCTTTGAATTCCTTTTGTTTTAGGATATTTTTTAATTGGGCTTCATTCTTGAATCTTGATTGAAAGGAAATTTTCAGGAATGCTTTTAATTACTTAAAGAATACAAGACTTTTGGAAAGCTGTAGTTTTTTTCTGGTTAGAGAAGAACTAGATTAGGGTTCATAATTTGAAAAAATTTTCTTGGATCCAGTGCTTGGCTTGCACCAGTTGGTGACAGCTACTTTTTGCTGTCTGGGACCTTGGGATTTAATGTAAAATGGCTTGTCTTTGAGCTATGGGTGTGCCCAGCTAATTGCAGTTGTTTCTGTTTATAAATTTTATGCTTACAATAATTTTTAGATTTTGGAGTTGAGAATGGATTAAACTTGGGAAATGGCTTCAGGGACTGATGTTTCACCTCAGATACCAAGATGGGATATTGGATGTGCCCCTAATAATGACAGTTTGCCTGTCATGGAGGATGAAAATGGTGATAGTAGTGAAAATTTGACACAATCCAGAAAAGGAAAACCTCCAAGAAACGTTTCTTACATGAGGCATTGTAGCAGCAGTGCTTTTTTTATTGATTCTGTGAGTTCATTCCTTCTCTTTTTGGGTCACATTGCTTTTCTTTGCTTAGCGCATGAAATTTTGCAATTTGTTCTTCATTAATTAAGATCTATTAGCTTGATACTAATTAGTTATTGAATGTCCAGTGCTTCCAATTCAATTTGAATATCATTTTGTGGAAAATGTGTCTCATTGAAAATTATAAATAAATGGCTCTAATCTGTTCTTCTAATTGTTGAATGCCAATTTCCCGATAGGCATATTACTTCTACAGCCTTAGAATCTAACTTTGATCACACCCTTATAGGCACAAATAATTGTGTTTGTGATTTCAGTTTCCTATTGGACTAATGCTGCAAAACATTTCCCAAAATAAGCAATTTATCCATGCTTATTTTTCTAATGTCTTGTTAAGGTGAAGGATTGTGCAAATTTCTTTTTTTTTTTTTTTAAACAAGAACTGATCTCAAAGGACATTTAAAAGAAGTCCCGCAGCAAATTGCTCGCTTCAATCATAGCTGCAAAAAATGAGGCTAGATAGATGTTATATTTCTTTAAGCTATACCTTAATGTGCTGTGTTGGGATTATTTTGAAGAGTTTGTGCATTTATCTTTAGCCTCTCATCATCTTTTTTTTTTTTTTTTTTTTTTTTTTATTGTCTGTTTTTAATCCTGTGCATGTATTTTTGGTCATGACGATGTCCTGGTATTTGCCCGGTCTTTTTTTTTTTTTTTTTTATTTGTCTGTTTTTAATCCTTGTGCATGTATTTTTGTGTCATGACGATGTCTTTGCCCGGGTGGAATATATAATGCCTACTAGATGCAAAGTTTTGATATTTTTTGATTAGATGTTGTGGAATATCCATAACAGAAAAGTCATATTTCAACTAATTATCCATTATTGTCATTTTTCAGGAATTTGATGTTGGAATTATTGGCTTGAAGTCACCATCAACTGAGAATTCTGGATTTCTGCCTGTATTTCGCTCTGGAAGCTGTTCGGAGAAAGGACCAAAGCAGTACATGGAGGATGAGTACATATGTGTGGACAATCTGAATCAACATCTTGTTGCAGTTAAAACTCCTGCACCTGGAGCATTTTATGGGGTGTGTAAGTTGCTGATAGTTTAGGGTGTTTCAATAATTCAGAATGGCATATTATATATTCTTGAAAAATTTTTATAATTGTTGGTCTATTATATTGTAGTTTACTCAGATGTAAATTGTTCTGACCTCCAAGGAAGCATGCAAACAAAAAAGAAAAAGAAAAACCTTCAATATTTGATTCATCAAATCACTATGCATTGTGATTCATTCATTCATTGAGGTGGTGCACTGAATTCGAGTTTTATTCATTCAGGTGTTTGATGGACATGGTGGTATTGATGCAGCAACGTTTACAAGAAAGAACCTTCTTAATTTTATCGTCGAAGACTCCCAGTTTCAGTGTGGCACAAAAAAGGCGATTAAGAGTGCCTTCCGGAGGATTGATCATGCACTTGCTGATGCTAATTCTATCGATAGTTCCTCTGGCACTACTGCTTTAGCTGCCCTTATCATGGGAAGGTGAGAAACTATACATCAAATTTGCCTCCTACCTTTAATATTGCATCTAGAGTTGCTCTTGGTTTTTGCTGATGGTTTAATTTTTAGTTTAGTTTAGTCTAGATGACGATTTGTTTGACCTTCACTATTGTAGGACCATGGTCGTTGCTAATGCTGGTGACTCTAGAGCTGTGATGGGCAAACGAGGAAGAGCAGTCGAGCTATCAAAAGACCACAAACCTAACTGCACCTCGGAGCGACTAAGAATTGAGAGACTAGGAGGAGTTATATATGATGGTTACCTTAACGGTCAATTATCTGTGGCTCGTGCTCTTGGAGATTGGCACATTAAAGGTCCTAAAGGTTCGAAAAGCCCCTTAAGCGCTGAGCCAGAGTTAGAGGAAATTAACCTAACAGAAGAAGATGAGTTTTTGATAATTGGCTGTGATGGCTTGTGGGATGTAATGAGCAGTCAATGTGCAGTTACAATGGTGAGGAAGGAACTTGTAATCCATAATGATCCTGAGAGATGCTCAAAAGCACTCGTCAAGGAGGCGCTCCAGCGCAACTCGTGTGATAATCTGACTGTTGTTGTAGTCTGTTTCTCTCCTGATCCACCTCCTAAAATTGAAATGCCTAGGTCCCATAAAAGGAGAAGTATATCAGCTGAAGGGCTCGATCGTCTACAGGACATCTTGGATAATGGTGTGTGAACAAGAAAAAAAAAAAGAATAGGAACTGCTTATATCTTGTATAAGTAAAAAAAATAACATAGAATATCTGAACTTCCATTTTTGCCGAGGGACCTTTCAAAGTCGATTCTGCTAGCTTGCTACCTACTGAAAATGCTGATTTCTTCAACATAAACATCCTGTATATTTTTGACGTACCTTTGTGTGAGAACCAAAATTGCGGAAGCTTTAATTAGTATCTTTAATTTGTTTTCTTCATTATTTCTTTTGTAGTACTGATCAAGTTCTTGGTGTAATTTGTTTTGGGCTCTTGAGTTGTGTTTCTCAAGAAACAAATGTCCACTACAAATAATTTATGAGCAACCAATTTTGTAACTAGAATCCGTCAGTAGAAAAAAGTTTAAACGAAGAAACTGTACTTTTGATATGTGATATATATGTATAGTCTTCATCAGCAACACAGTAATTTTTTCTTTTAGCATTGGAAATTAATTATCAACAAAAAGATTGTGATAATCTCAAAGAAAATTCACTTGTTCATGATTCAAGTATTGATAATCCTTTCCATTTGGTTATTTACATGAAACATATTTTTGCTTTCTAACCAGATTGATTCTTGACTAAGACAAAGAAGCAATGAGTTCCACGTGAAATAATCAGGAAATATACCATTTTCTACCATTTGTGAAAAAAGACTTGACCCCTTTTGAAAATCCCCCTTCCTGCAAAAAGCATAGATCAGAGGATTGTAACTGCCTCTATCGGGCGCACAACCTCTCCCAACCATGTCTTCAAGGAGTTTCAAGGCATTCCTTTCCTTTCCTTGTCCACAAAATCCACTAATAAGAGCATTAAATGATGATGCAACAGGAAAATAACCATGGCCAACCATCTCATTCATCAGCCCAAATGCTTCCCACAGACACCCTTCTTGACAAAATCCATGAATTAAGCAGTCATAAACAAGAACATTTGGAATTCCGCCTTCATTAATCATCTGATCGAAAACCTTCTTTGCATTTGCAATTGCACCCTTCTCGCAAAAGCCTAATAAACTCAAGCTCCTATCAACAGCTCTAGGAAATAATTTTTCCATCTTCATTAGAAAGTCAAACGCCTCATTCCACATATTTTTCTTGTAAAGACCATATAATACACTATTATAAGGACTAATACGACCCCCAGAACCCCCTTTAGACTCCTCCATCAGCTCAAGGATTTTGAACCCATCTTCTATCCTGCCTGCTGAAAACAAACCCCTGATTAATGTGTCATATGTATTGAAATTCCAAATAATTCCATCTGTTTTCATATCATTAAACATATCAAGAGCCATATCCAGCATTCCATACTCACAGAAACCAGAGATCAATATATTATATGTGTCTGCATTAGGAAGGCATCCTTTTCTCTCCATTTCCTTCAAGAAGCGATGCCCAACTTTCGTTTTCCCTAATCCACAAAAGCCTTTTATAAGGGTGTTGTAAGCCACAACATCAACCACACCTCCCTTGCTCTCAACTCTCTCTAAAGTCTCAACTGCTTCTGTCACACGGCCTACATTGCAAAGAACTTCCACCACCTTAGTAACTGTAACTACATCAGGCACAAACCCCAAACTAAAACTCTTCTCTAGCAGTACAAGAGCCTGAACTAAGTTGTCTTCTTTACAGTACCCAGATATCAAAACATTGAAAGTCACATCATTAGGCTCCTCAATCTCATTCATTAAGCTCCTTGCTCTCCCAACTTTCCCATTCTTGCATAAAGCATGAAGCAGAGTATTATAAACAACAGCATTTGGCTTTACACCACTAGACTTCATAACCTGCAAAAGCTTAAACCCATCTCCAATTCTATTAGTTAAGCAAAGACCCTTCATTAAAATGCCAAAAGTATAATCATCACCTTGAACACCACTCTCCATCATTTTCTTTCTGTAAAACTCCCTAGCCAAGTCGATATCTTCCTTAACAAGAACATCAAGTATTGAATTAAATATTTTCAAAGATGGGTTCTTGCCAAACTTAGAAACTAAATCAACTACTTTGATAACGTGAGGAATCATTCGAGCCCGGCCAAGACCTCGAATCATAGTGATAAAAATGTCATCGTCTGGAGGAAACCCTATCGAGTGGGGCATTTCGTCGAGCAGTTGCTTTGCAAAGTCAAAGCGACGGAAAGTACAGAGCTTGTGAATTAAAGCTCGATAAGTAGATTGAGAGTGGGTGAAGTTGGGGATGTTTGTTGCCCATCTGAAAGTTTGAAGAGCTTGAGACGCAGATTTCTGGTCTAAAATCAGATGGGCTATGTGTTGATGAGATGGTGTTGATGACGAGAAGGAGAAGGAGCGACTGGATTTTAAAATGTGAAGTAATTTGTGAGGAAAATTAGCAGTTTTTGTGAGTCTTGAAAGAGGGAAGAGGTTGGGCATGGATTGAATTGGAAGAATGACTTAAAAAGTAGTAGAAATTTGGCGGGAACCAAATCCTTCTTCCGTTTCCCGTTATTAACCTTTGCAGCTCTGCCTTACAAAAATTTAATAATAAAAGGTAGGAAAAATTATAATTGTATCCTATATTTAATTAAAAATAATTATTTTATTCTTTATATATATATTATTCTATTATATATGATATATATATAAATTATATTATATATACTATAATGTAGTATATTATATAATATATATATTGTCTCCATAACCTTATAAGTCTATTATACCATGTACCCCTTCTATCTATTTTTTTAGTTTTTTTTTCTTAAAATGAATTTCAGTTATTTTTTTTTTTTTTTTTTCCTAAATTACAAGTCATACCGATGACAGCAAATGGCGTTTTATTCCTAAAAATCAAATTTATTTTGCTTATATATAAATACACACACAATAGAAAAATTATATTGTCATAACTTATAAGTCTATTATACCATGTACCCCTTCTATCTATTTTTTAGTTTTTTTTTTTTAAATGATTTCAGTTTTTTTTTTTTTTCTAAATTACAAGTTCAATGAGCAAATTGGTTTTATTCCTAAAAAATCAATATTTTGCTATATATAAATACACACACAATAGAATTTGAATCATAATCATTAATCTAGTTCGTTGATGATTCAACCCAGTGAACCAATGGATTGGATGCCAAATCGAATCGAATTCGTTTTTAAACCTTTTAAGGAAGAGAATATGATTGGACACAAAATCAATTAAACTAGTCTATCTACACAGTCCCGATTAATCAACACAAGATATTTTTTATTATATTATGATTATTTTAAATTTTAATTATTTAATTAATATTCTCTTCGTCCCATAAAAAAATAACATAACTAAATTTCACTTTTTTTAGGAATAGTTAGTTATTGTCCGTTAACTAAAGGGAGGAATGGTGTAAATATAGAGAATGTAATAACAAAAAGTATAATCCTCTGTATAGGAAGGTAGGGGATTGGGTAGATAATGATAATATAAATAAGAGAAGGGATGTTGTATAAAGTATGAGCCTTATTGTAGAGAGATAAGTGAGGGGTGGGATTGACGACATTCGTGTAGTATTTTTTTCATTACTTCTCTTTTTCTTTATTTTTCTAGGAACAACATTCTTTCACTCTGAAACTGTATGTCGTAAATCCCACCCTAAAAGTTTTTTCATTTCTTTCCATTTTTATCTTTATTTATTGACTCTTGACCCATTTAACATCCAATATAGTTTTAGTATCATATTAATCGGTTCTCACTCTACTTTCTAAAAAAGGAAGTGTGTTAATAACACAGTTAAATAAATGGTATTAGACTGTATTGGACTGTATTTAATATTCAAAATCTGAAATGATTTGAAAATTTTATTTGAACCATTAGTTAGATACTGATGAGGAGTTTCGGATGGCGGCCTTTCAGTACCCGGATAACAGTCCTGGCCCTGACGGGTTTAACCCATGCTTCTTTCAAAAATATTGGTCAGTTGTGGGTTCAGATGTTATTACCAGCTGTAAATGGTGGATTGCACATGGCTCTTTTCCTGAATTGTTGAATGAGACTAATATTGTCCTAATTCCAAAAATTGATAATCCTGAGTTTGTGAAAGATCTGCTGCCAATTTCTTTATGTAATGTCTTGTATAAGATTGTGGCAAAGGTCTTAGCTAATCGGCTAAAGCATGTCTTAGGAAAAATCGTTTCCCCATCTCAGTCAGCTTTTGTTCCTGGGAGGCTAATTACAGACAATGTCATTCTTGCCTTTGAAACAATTCATTCCATGAAAAGTTGGGGGAGGAGTCAAGAACAGACAGTGGCCCTGAAGATTGATATCAGTAAGGCATATGACCGTGTTGACTGGTCTTATCTAGAAGCTATAATGATAAGACTTGGGTTTTGTGCAGAGTTTATTCAGTTGAGTTTGATGTGTGTTACGTCGGTCAGGTATCATGTGCTTATTAATGGTTAAACTGTTGGTCCTATTATTCCATCTCGTGGGTTGAGACAAGGCTGCCCTCTATCTCCGTACTTATTTCTTCTGTGTTCTGAGGGACTTTCAGCTTTATTTACGCATGTAGAGGTTGTGGGGTCAATTCATGGGGGTTGAATTTGTAGAGCTACTCTGAGGCTCTCTCACCTCTTGTTTGCTGATGATAGTCTATTTTTCTTTAAAGCTAAGGTAGACCAAGCTTCAACGGTTGCAATTATCTTAAGATGGTATGAAGCAGCATCAGGACAGGGTGTGAATTTGCAGAAATCAGGGGTTTTTTTCAGTCTAATGTGGATGTCTCGGTTAAAGAGCAGATTATCAATATCTTGCAGGTCTCTCAACCCTTAAACCATGGCAGATATCTCAGACTACCTTCCTTAGTCGGACGTAACAAGAAGGCAGTCTTTTCTTTTCTTTGAGATAGACTGAGAAAGGCCATTTTTCTATAGAGTCATAGATTTCTTTCCAGGGCAGGAAAGGAAGTAATGATTAAAACAGTAGCTCAGGTGATTCCATCCTACTGCATGAGCACTTTCCTTCTTCCTTCCTCCTCATGTGAAGAATTGCAAAGAATTATGAACTCCTTTTGGTGGGGTACACAGGGCTCAAAAGGTAAAGGAATTCCTTGGCTATGTTGGGATCGAATGTGTGTTGAAAAGGCTATGGGAGGCCTTGGCTTCAGACACTTATACTCTTTTAATATTGCCCTAGTTGGTAAACAGATTTGGCGACTTATCATTGAGCCAAATACTCTTCCATGTTCTATTCTCAGAGCAAAATATTTTCCGAGGGGGGGGGGAATGTTTTGGATGCGCCTCTAGGGCATAATCCCAACCTTATATGTAGGAGCATGGTCTCAGCTAAGTCATTTCTAAAAAGAGGGTATAGGTGGAGAATTGGGAACGGTTCAAACATCAATATCTGACATGCGCCGTGGCTACCAAACGATCATGATTTTTACCCACATAGCCCTGTTGTTCTTGGCTTTGAGAATGCATCAATTGGAGATCTTAAGCTGTTTAATGGTTGGAATGTGGATTTAATAGATGCACTGTTTAGTCCAGAGGAGGTATCGTGGGTTCTCTCCATCCCTTTTACTCGAGCTACCCTGGCAGATAAACTAATATGGAACTTCTCTAGTTCAAGAAAATACCTTGTTAAGTCAGGATATAAACTTGTCCTACCTAATTTTGTGGCGCCTGAAGTAAACATAACTTCGCCAATTTGGGCTAAAATATGGCAAATAGAAGCCCCACTGAAGGTTAAGCACTGGTTATGGAGGGCATGTCATAATATTTTGCGAATTAAATCTATACTTTTTGGCAAGCGAATCATAGAGGATGACCATTGCCCATTTTGCAGCAAAACATAGACAATAATGCACATGCTATTCGTTTGTGAGAAAGCTCGACTGTGTTGGACTTTAGCAAGGATTCCATTGGATGGATCTGTCGTTGGGTTTAATGATATATTGTTGGGGTTTATTAATCGACACAGCAATGAGCATTGCTTGTTAGTTAGTGTGATGTGCTACTTTATCTGGCTTGACAGAAATCGTCGGGTTTGGCAGCAAAGTGATGTTCATCCTTACAACATTGTCATGGTAGCGACTAACTTCCTTAGAGAATGGAAGAATGCGCAGATTAGTCGACGCAATTCCTCTTTCCATCGGCTTCAGTTCTAACATGGGCTCTCCCTCCGACTGGGGTTGTAAAGTGTAACTTCGATGCAGCTGTCCACACAACTGAGGGTCTTTCATCATATGCTAGCCTTGTCCGGAATGAAGTTGGACAGTTTTTGGCAGCTTGCACAGGTCATTTTGCTGGGGTGCTACAACCACATATCGCAGAGGCCATCGATCTGAGGGAAGTATTGTCTTAGTTGCTCACGAGATCATTTGGTAGCGTTCTACTGGAAACAGATTGCCTGCGACTGTTTCAAGCGGTCACGGCTGGTTTTGAACCTTATTCAGATTGGGCACCAGTGTTAGAAGAGATTAAACAATTGCTTTCTCAAATTCCATCTTGTGAATTAATTTGGGTTAGGAGGCAAGTCAACGAGCCTGCACATGCTCTTGCTCGTGTGGCATGTTTACATCCTTATTTCCATTCATGGGACACGACTCCCCAATGTATTGACGATCTTATTGTTCATGATTCATTATAATATTATGATCTCCTTTACTATCAAAAAAAAAAAATTAAAGAGTTAACTTCTTCCTTTTAAAAAGTATAAAAAAAAAAAGGTTAACCTCGTCCTTTTTTTATTCATGTTGAAAGAAACTTCCATAGGCAAGCACTTCTCAAACCACCCCTCCATTATTGTTTTTTATTAATCTTGATTCTTTTCTTCTGCAAGTGATCCTTTTAGTTTGCGTTGTAAAAATTTCTAATGGTTCTTGGACCGAAGGTTATAATTCCTACAAAATATTAAGTCAGCGTACAGTTGATGAAATTAGAAAAATCAGCCAAAATTGAAATAAAGAACAAAGTTCAAATTTTTTTTATCATTAAGCCAAATTAAAATTCAAAACTTATTGGAACAAATATTGTAAAAAGAAAAATTTTTTTTAAGCTTTATTTCATTTTTTCTTTTAATTATTTGAATTAAATCTGTCACGTTTAGAGACAGATTTAACCTTTTTTATCACGAATCCATTTTTAACCGTGAAACATTCAGAGAATTCTTTATTTTATTTTTTAAATATCAAAAAGATAAGTTCTTATAAAATTTTTACATTGAATCCGTTTACTTATATGGGTCCATATATTTGATTTAGTTGTTTATACCAGCTGATATTTGGTGGCTAATAAATATTTGTATTTGATAAAATTTTAACAGTGGTCGTTGTTAAAATATAAAATGATCATTAAGTAAATAATAGTTTTCAGATATTATTTTATATATATACACACACACACCTTGCACTTATGATTTTAGGCCGCCAACCGCGCAGAACGCGACACACTAATTAGCAACCAGAAATTTATAATTTAAAGTGAATATGTTATTTTATTTTAATGTATTATATAAATAAAATTTTAATTGAAATTTTAAAATAATATTTAAAAAAACATTTTATTTTAAATAACTATAAATAAATGCTCACAAAAATATCAATTATTGATGAAAAAACTTACCTAACAATTATTTTATCTCTCAATGTTGCACATCTATCAGTTGCATAAATTAATTGAATTAAATACTCTAAAACGATTTTAAAATGATTTATATTTATATAAAAAAATGATTATTTCCTAATCAAATAAAATCAATATAACAAAATATTTAAAAAATAAAAAACTAAATAAGAAGCTAAACAAGTAAGTATCTAGAGCCGTGTTTCCCTATCTTGTCTAGATGTGTTTGTGAAAATGAAGAGGACTTATCAGTACCACTTCCCAATGTTCTAATCGATGTCTTTTCAAAAAATTTCATAGTGTTTTTTCTTCTTAAAGAAAATTATGGTTTATGAACAGTTCTATCTGAAAATCACCGAGTCAGAGGTCATATTATATACTTGAATTGAAGATCTTGCCACTTGCCACTTTCATTTTCTGAGACCTTTCTTTTTGGTTTTTCATTGTCAAGTTGTTCTCTCTTTTTATTTTTTAAATTTAAAAACAAATGGAAGTGTCATCCCCAATGGTTAAATAAAGAAAGACGACATCAATTTGCATTTGGGTTGTTTCTGCATCATCTTGTTCTGTAATTTCATTTTAATCCAGCAACCAATCCCTGTTTAAAGAGGCAAGAACCCAACCAAGCACCACCTTTCCTTCTGGAATCAAACCCACTTTCTTGGTCTGATTTCATTTGCAATTTCTCTCTTTTACTCTTTAAATATCATCTGAAACTAATCCCACCCATCTCTAAATCCTCTGAAAATATGGGATTTGATAAAGAAGCAAGCTCATCTTCTCATGTCCTTCGGGTACCATCTCTTCCAAGAGAAGACACACCTCTTCTTGGCAGGAAACCTCCACTTTCTTCTAAATTCAAGACTTTTGCTAATGTATTCATAGCCATAGTTGGAGCAGGCGTTCTGGGACTTCCTTACACCTTCAAGAAAACAGGATGGGTAATGGGTTCTCTTATGCTCTTCTCTGTTGCTTTCCTCACCTATTATTGCATGATGCTTCTTGTCCATACTCGCCGCAAGCTTGAATCTCTTCAAGGCTTTTCCAAAATTGCTTCTTTTGGTGATCTGGGTTTTACTGTTTGTGGTCCAATTGGTCGTTTTGCTGTTGATTCCATGATTGTCCTTGCACAAGCTGGGTTTTGTGTTAGCTATCTTATCTTCATTGCTAATACTTTAGCTTATGTTCTTAATCAAGAATCAGATGAAAAAATTTTGGGTTTTTTAAGTCCTAAAGCTTTGTATATATGGAGTTGTTTTCCTTTCCAGTTAGGGTTAAATTCAATTCCAACATTGACCCATTTGGCTCCTCTAAGTATTTTTGCTGATGTGGTTGATCTTGGAGCTATGGGTGTAGTGATGGTCGAGGATGTGGTTTCTTTCTTGAAAAATAGACCTGTTTTAGAGGCTTTTGGTGGGTTCTCTGTTTTCTTTTATGGGTTAGGTGTGGCTGTTTATGCTTTTGAAGGGATTGGTATGGTGTTGCCATTAGAATCTGAGGCAAAAGACAAAGACAAATTTGGGAAAGTGTTGGGATTGTGTATGGCATTCATTTCTTTGTTGTATGGAGGATTTGGGATTTTGGGTTATTTTGCTTTTGGTAATGATACCAAAGATATAATCACCACCAATTTGGGTCCTGGATTGATCAGCAATTTGGTTCAGTTCGGTTTGTGTGTGAATCTGTTCTTTACTTTCCCTTTGATGATGAACCCAGTTTATGAGGTGGTGGAGAGGAGATTATGCAATTCTAGATATTGTTTGTGGCTGAGATGGGTGGTGGTTTTGACAGTAAGCTTGGTGGCTCTATTGGTGCCTAATTTTGCAGATTTCTTGTCTTTGGTGGGAAGCAGTGTGTGTTGTGCTCTTGGGTTTGTGATGCCTGCTCTGTTTCACTACTTGGTGTTCAAGGATGAGTTGGGAACTTCTGGTTTGGTTATTGATATGGCAATTTTGGTTTTTGGAGTTGCCATTGCGGTCACCGGAACCTGGTCTTCTTTACTGGAGATATTTACTTCTAAGTCTTCCTAAGTGATTTCATTTTTTTAGTTGGAGTTATATCCATTATTTGAAACACAACATTAGTAATTGTAAAACTCTTTAGTTGTTTTCTACTCTGATGCAGGATTCTGTCTATATATAATTTTACAACATTATATGAACTTATGTGAGACTGATACATGAGCGTTCCTATATACCCGGTCACCGGGAACCGCTGGGTACTTCGTCTCTACTCGAGAACGGATCCGCAGATATCTACTTCTAAGTCTCCTAAGCCGCATCATTTTTTTTAGTTGGAGTTATATACCATATTTGAAAACACACACATTTCGAGTAATTTGTTAAAAAACTCTTTTATGTTGTTTCTACCTCTGATGCAGATCTGTCTATATATAATTTTCTCACAAACATTATATGAACTTATGTAGAGGAACTGAATACCGATTCGAGCGTTCCTATATATATATATATATATACATAATATAACCAACTATACTATATAAACACCACAGCTATTTTGTTTGATAGAACTTCGAGGTCTTCCTCCACCTCTGTTTGTTAATAGGACTTAGTTTTTTTTTGTCTTTGATAGAACTAGGAGCGTTGACATAGGTATACATGAGCGCTTAGAGCGCCACCTCTCTAGGAGCAATGGCAAACTTGTGTTCCGTGTGATATTATTGTGCAAATTATAAAAATATTTGAGATTCACCTTAGTCTCAGGGCTAATCTTGAATCACAAAATGGAGCAAAAATGATGCTTTTTCTACAGTTATGGGATGATCAAAAAGAAATTGATTCAGAAATCTGATTATATGTCCGCAACGAGGTAATGGTATAGTGCGATGATATTCCTGTGTTCTGGCTATACTTGCTGTTCACTTTTTCATATATATATATATATATATATATAAACACACAGTTTTTTGTTTGATAGAACTACGAGGTGTTCCTCCACCTCTTTTGTATGGACTTAGTTTTTTTGTTTGATAGAACTAGGAGGTTGATATATACATGAGCGTAGAGCGCATTCTAGAGATGGAACTTGTGTCTTGATATGTGAAATTATAAAATATTTGAGATTCACTTGTCTCAGCTAATCTTGATCACAAAAGTGGAGCAAATGATGCTTTTCTCAGTTATGGATGATCAAAAGAAATGATTCAGATCTTATATATGTGGTAATGGATGGATGATATCCTGTGTTCTGGCTATACTTGCTGTTCACTTTTCATACATCATTATGTTTCAGTTTTGCATTGCTTGCATAACTTAGGCCATATTCGACAGCAGAATTTAAAGTAATGTTTAGTATTTTGATAGATTTGAAATACTATTTTAATTAATTATATTGTTCGGTAATACAATATATATCTAGCCTTTAGAGTTAGAGACAGTGCTGAAAAGTTATCTTCATTAGCGTTTTATAATTTTTTTACGACACTTATACATATCACTTGTCTTTACCTTGTTCCTCGCTTTCATACCGTTATTTGTATTGTACATTTATTTTAAACCACTATATAATCGTTAACCAATAACAATTAATATTTAACACTTATTCTAAACCACTATATAATCTTTAACCACTAACAACTAATACTTAACGGCTAATCATTAATAAAACAGTTAATTATTAGTGGTTAGCTATAAAAACAGCTAACAGCTACTAGAATTTTCGAACAGACCCTTAATATTGCAATTAGATTATGCAAAATGCTTCTATTTGCATTTTCATAATTAGAGAAATAATATTATCTAACACTTTAATTTTATTGAACCCTCAATTTTTAACTTGACTCATCAAACATTTTAACTTATAAACTCATTTTGTTAAATACTTTTAACTTGTAAAATTAATTCAATTAAACATTTATTAAATAATTAAAAACAAGAGAAAAATTAGCGATTCAAAAGTTATACTAACTGCCCATCAAATCAATATTTCATATACAAGTCAAAATCAATATTTCATATACAAGTCAAAATCCATAAGAACTATTGTTACTAATATAATAAGGTGTGTAATTTATCAAAATTTGCAAGTTCAAATTCACAATTGCTTATCCACAAACAGGATTAAAAATGCATAGTTCAAATTTATGTAATTTAACTTTCTTATTACAAACAGTACTATTAATTTGATATTATATCAGCTTGCAAGAACTGTGTTTTTCTGTCTAAAGCAAATAAATGGGACTTCCCACCTTCACTTTGATGGATGCACTCCATCATGATTTCTATTCAAAAAAAAAAAAAATTGAAAAGAGGCTAAAAGAAAACACAAATCATCATTCACAACAAAGATCTGCACTTTAAACTTACGGAAAAACCAAGCTGCTAGCCCTGAAGGACCAAATCTCGCCAAAAAGGTAATTTAATTTAACTTCCACATCACAAAGTAGTGTTTTAAGTGCGTATATGTTTGAAAAAATTACATATAATTCATGTGTCCTGATCAAAAAATTACAATAAAAGGATAAAAAAAAAAAAACTAACATAGAAGTACTTCAACTTTAGACAAGGTAAAAAAAAATCTGCAAAATCAAACAAGAGCTTACACCACAAGGCACAACCAATATTCATCACCACACTATATACTCATGGAAGAACCAGACCGCCACCCCTAGAGACCGCCACACCTAGAGGACCAAATCTCACCAAAAAGAAAAAAAAAAAAGGCAGGCTTTTTATGGAAGGAAAGCACCTAGTAACATATCGCCTGCTACCTGACTAAAATGCTTTCCAGTTATCCGAGTTCTTCCTTGGAGTTTCAGTCTCTACTGATGTCTTAAATGGCCCAGTAGAGCCGAATGGATCAGCATCATCAAACGATGATGAGAACCGATGACTATTATCAAAGTCTCTGGAGCTATGTGCAGAATCGAATGTAGCAAAGGAATTGCCAGAGGATTGAAAGAATCCACTGTCATTGGCATTAAATGAATCGAACCTTGAGAACCCATGACTATGATCAGAATCTTTAGTTTCTCTAAATGAATCAAAACTTGACGGGAACCCATGATTATTATCAGATTCTCTAAACGAATCAAACCTTGATGGGAAACCATGACTGTTGTCACTCTCTCTAAATGAATCAAACCGCGAGAATACTTGAGTCTGATCTGAGTCTCGAAACGAATCAAACCTCGAGAATCCATGACTTTGTTCAGAGTCTCTGGATTCTCCATATGAATCAAAACTTGATGGGAACCCATAATTTTGATCAGAGTCCCTAGTGCTGCGCATGGAATCAAATCTTGAAAGAGATTGGCTTGAAGATTGAAATAATCCGCTGTCGTGCATATTAAACGAATCAAACCTAGAGAAGCTGTCAAAAGAATGATCATCTGACCCTTCATTGAACTTATAGGCAGGAGTGCTGGGAACAGAGTCTGCAAATCCGAGTGAGCTCTTCCCCTGGTTATAGGCTGGGGTGCCAGGAACAGAATCTGCAAATCCAAAGGAGCTCCTCCCCTGGTTATAGGCTGGGGTGCTAGGAACAGAATCTGCAAATGCAAATGTGCTTTTCCCCTGGTTATATGCAGGGGTGCTTGGAACAGAATCAGCGAACAAGCTCCTACCCTGGTTATATGCAGGTGTGCTTGGAACAGAATCAGCGAACAAACTCCTACCCTGGTCATATGCAGGTGTGCTTGGAACAGAATCTGCAAAAATAGATGTGTGCTTTCCCTGGTACAGATTATCTGCATGCGGAGATCCTGTTTTGATTGATTTTAAACCAAATTCACCCAGTCCAAATAGAGAACCATCACCTTGCCTATCATGATCCAAGTCCTACAACAGAAAATTTTATTAATTCAGTCTATATATAGAAAGGCAAGGCCAAAAAGAAGTGAAGTTACAGACAAAACTGGAAGATCAAATCCAACATAATCACCACCCAGAGAAGAAAAGAAAAGAAAACATAAATCCCAAATTTTGCCAATGATGATAATTCGCCCCAACCGATAGAAGCCATGAATAACTATATATGCATGCATACATCTATAGAGAGATAAAAGATGGATTCAAATCTCTTCATTTGGCTTAAACTAGCATTAGGAAGTTGTTAAACAATGACCATTAATTCTTGTTGTCAACTTCAAATAAAAGGGAAAATGAATTAAAATCGCCCTTATCATACCTTGCCACTAACAGAATCAAAGCCCCAAAGAGATTCTGTATCATATTGAGTGTCAAATCTGCCCCATCCAGGTTCATCGCCACCTTTATCTCCAGAAAGCACAGATTCAGTACCACCCATATCACTGCATAATTATGATACTGGTAGCATCAGACATCCAAAAGAAGCACTAGAAGCAGATTGGAAAAAAGAAATAGATACCTTAGCCCTCCTGCTAAGTGATCCCACAAAATTGTTTGGAAGTTGACACTTAGGGGAAGAGCAGCAATGTAAAGAAAACACAAATGCAAAACAAACCTTTGGATTTCTTTAGCATGTGGTGAATCATCAGCACCAGACACCTCTCGGGATGGAGAGTCTCGGAATTCATGCAATTGGCTGTTCATTGCACTTCTTCCAGCAGGACTGTCAGGAGGACTTCTTGCAGTGCCATTCTCACTCTGCTCATTAGTCGCTTCTTTCTCTTGATTCGCTTCACCTGGACTTGGAGCCTTCTCTAGCTTAGCCTCTGCCTTTGAGGTGGAAGCATTTACATCCTCATTTGTGGGAGGATTTGCGTTTTCAACTGAAGATTTCTGTTTTGGGGGCGCTACAACATTTTGCACATCCAAAGTGAGCTCTTTGACAAATGTGAAACCTGAAAGTGGGTAAAAGCCTATTACTTCTCAAAATTATAGATTTGTAAAAGGAAAGCATAATGTACACTTGACAGGAAAAAAATCCAATTCTTCATACACAGACAAATAGAGATCCATCCTCATTGGATTGAAACGAACCCAACAAACACCCAGCAGGGTAACAATTTTACTATACCTTCATCCTCAAATTTATCCCAATCTTCATCCCAGTCAGCAGCTCCTTCTTGAATTCCAGGTTGCCAGCCTTAACAAGGATAGCAGAAAAAAAAAAAGTTAAGTAATAAACTGAGAAAAAGAAATTACAAGGATGAGTTTGCTTGTCCCAACATAAAAAACCTAGAAACACAATCATGGAAAGTCCCTTACAGAAAAACTATATGAAGAACTGAAAACATAATAACTTATAACTTTTGCAGAGATGAATACTGAACAAACAGTGTAAGGTCCTTTAAGTGCTCAGTGGAAAACCATAAGCTGGCCATACTTCCTATTTCCTCCATTTGACAAGTTGTTTATCATGAAATTGCAAACTATCACCAAATAAACAGCCAGATAAAATTTAGCATCACTTTCTAACCAGCATTTTAAATTTCACCAACTACAAAACAATCTAAATAATAGACATTGCATCCACATGCCAAATCTCTATCTAGAAAAAACCGAAGTTCATTCTTAAGGCCAGAATCACATCCACGATACATACTTGGAAGATAAATAAAATATTAAACAAACAACAAAGAATGGAATCCTTCACCAGCAAATTTATACCAGAACGTAGTCTTTTGATCCTTTGTTATCAGCATACGCCTTTTTGACTTTCTATGAAAAGAAAAATGGCTTTCTTCACCTAGTTACTCATTTTGCACAGGGTTCTATTTTAGCGTAATGAATCCACCATTTGGACCAACAAAATATCTTTATAACTGAATTGACGATGTTACCAGAGTTTCTACTAAATTTAAGATCAAGCCATGAGATGGAGCCTAGTTACTTCAATTTCTTATTATTCAGAAAACATTATTAGATTCATCAACCAAAGTGCAAAAGAGAAAATCAATTTTAAGAGAAATATTTCATTGACAATACTTTCAAAGGAATTTTGTTTGTTCACAAAGATAATGAGAACATTGTGTTTACAAAGATAATGACAAATTTTGCAAATGAGATATCAAAAAGGTAAAATCTAGCTGAACCAATATTAGTTTGCTTTACAAAAACTAGCAGGAAAAGAAAAGGCAAAATAAACCAAAGAGTTTTCTAGATGAGATATGAGATATCTAAGCTAGAGGATCAATGAGGTAATGACAATACCAAAAGGAAGCTCAACTAGTGAAGTTGGCTTGGCATGCAATCCATATTGTTTACAGCGTTCATTCACACTTTTTACTAGTTCCTCAAGACTTGACTGGATATGCTCAGCACGCTCCTACAAAACCAAAACCAAAACCAAAAAAAAAAAAAAAAAAAAAAGAGATATCTAAGCTAGAGGATCAATGAGTTAATAGGACAATACCAAAAGGAAGCTTTTCAAAACTTAGGTGAAGTTGGCTTTGGCATTGCAATCCATATGTTTACAGCGTTTTCATTCACACCTTTTTTACTAGTTTCCTCAAGACTTGGACATGGATATGCCGAGCACGCTTCCTACAAAACCCAAAACCAAAAACCAAAAAAAAAAAAAAAAAAAAAAAACAACCACTTATACACAAGTTTTCACTTTCCTCCACAAACAAATTATATCATTAGAATTTACCTTCAGAACGCGTCACAGTTTTAGGCTCCTTCTCCATTTTAACAATGGATCCGATATATTAACTCCATAATAATTACTTCTCCTGCCAGCAATTGAAGTACTTATTTAGTTAAATGCCAAAAGAAAAAAAATCCTTATGCAAAATAGAGAGAAATTTTAATTAGAAGACAGTTTCATACTCAAACCAATTCAGACAATACATTTAAACCAGTATAGAAATAGAAGGAAAAGTTTAATAAAAACCCACCGCCAGAGTTCATAAATACAAAAAAAAAAAAAAAAAAAAAAAACAACACTTATACACAAGTTTCACTTTTCCTCCACAAACAAATTATATCATAGAATACCTTCAGAACGCCGTCACCAGTAGCTCCTTCTTCCATTTTAACAATTGACCGATATAACTCCATTTTCTTCTCCTGCCAGCAATTGAGTACTATTTAGCTTAAATGCAAAAGAAAAAAAAAATCCTTATGCAAATAGAGAGAAATTTTAATAGAAGCAGTTCATACTCAAACCAATCAGACAATACATTTAAACCAGTATAGAAATAGAAGGAAAAGTTTAATAAAACACCGCCAGAGTTCATAAATACCTGAAGATCACGGAATGTGGCCTCTTCAATAGTTAATTTTGAGGCTACATCCCCAGTTTGTCTGTATTTCTCCTCATATTTCTTAGCTAATGACTCAGCCTGACATTCAAAACAATCTAGTTAATCTCTTAAGCAGAAAACTTTGAAATGGAAAATATAGCTAATCCGCATTACAGATGGAGATACCTCACGTTTATCAGCAGCCACCCTTTCTGTTACCTCATTAAGTCGATTGTCACATCGGCTTTTATATAATATCTAACATCAGTTGCAAAAAAATATTAGCAACATATTATGCCTAAGGCTTAAAGAAGAAAATATAAGTATTTTCCTCCCTCCCACTCAACCAACCTAAAATCAAATAACACAGATTAAATATCACAAGAATAAAGATCCAACAATATTTCGATGCAGAAGCTTATCAGCATTTGTCACATATGAGATAATGGCATCACCACAGATGGATTTGTAAATAAAAGAAGATTTAGAAAAGAAAAAGAAAAAGGAAAAGGAAAATGTGAGAACAGACTTACAAGTTCCTGCATCTTAACACGATAGAATTCAATTTTCTGTCTAGAATCAGCTATTTCCTTTTCCAACTCTTCAACCTTCAATTAAAAAGGAGAAAAGTCAACATACATACAACTGAACCTATTATTTCAAGTCAAAACAGAACCTCCCAAGGACATAACTCAATCCATTTCAAGACGTCTAAATAACAGTAACAATCAAACTCCCTCGATCAAACAAAATATAGGGGAAAAAAGGAACTTTGACAAATTAGATATTTAGATAAAGATTGCAAAAATAAAAAAGTGCCTTTCTATCAGCTTGAAATGCCTCTTCGAATTTTGAGCGCAAAGAATCCTGCTCCTCCTGGCTAAGTTGATCAACAAGATGCTTTTCCAGCACAGGAACTTTGGGCTTTTGCTGAGCGGGCTGTTTTTCCTCAGCATGATGAGTAGTGGGAGGCCTTGGTGGCCTTGCTGCTGGGGCAGGTGGTGGCCGCGCACTAGTCATAAATTGCGGTGGTCGAGAACCTATGAAATTTTATTTTCCGGTTTAAAAGGTGGAAAAAAAAGGAAGAGGAACAATGCTAATTTTTAAAGAAGATAACAATATAACAAAACTAATACCAGAAGCAGGTCCCCAAGTTCCGCTGCCATATGAAGCTGCAGGATGGCTTGTAACAGCCAACAGATTCTCATCAGACATGACAGAGCTTGGAAGTGTTGTAGGTAGTGGACGGCCTTTTATGTAACGCTCCATCAAATAGACAGCAGTACAGAACTCTCTCAAAGAAAGCATACTATCATTGTCTTGATCAGACAAGTCCCAAACCTGTATTAAGACCTCTGAAACAAGGATGATAGTATATGATTGTCATTTAATATTAGAGTGCATCTAGTAAAAAAAAAGTGTTAATACAAAAGCTGTCATAATTTGAGGAAACTACAGGTAAAGCTTCAATCTGCATTATTGGAAACACAAAATAAAAGAAGGAAAAAGAAAAAGGTGACTACTTTACTGTTCCAGATAATTAACTTGTAGATTTGCTGGCATCATTTGAAATGATCAAAATTAATCCCAAGAAATACTAAGTCAGTCTGTTTCCTAGCAAGCTATTCTTTTGCCACTCTAACATGTTTCGCGTCTATTCTTCAGCTTATGTTCTTTTCAGACCAAATAATATATATTTTCAAAATGATAACAGAATCCAAATATTTATCATGCGAAATTGAAAAGCTTACACTAACAACTAGCTGCAACAAGGAAAGTTCCCTATGAATATTCCCATAAAGGTTGCATACTGGGCTTCCAATAATCTACCTTAGATAATATTTTACCATCCATGAACTCATCTTCAAGCTACATAATTGAACTTCTATGAAAGGAAGAAAGGATGTGTTGTAGTCTACCTCTTGGCAGCCGCCAACTTAAGAAGAGATTGCGTGCCTGTTCACCTGTAATCTTTCCATCTCTATCCGTGTCTACCTGCACAAATACCTTCATATACCTATGAATATCAGATTGAGCCATCTTAGGCCATGGAGCCTGGGATTGACTCGAAGCTGAATTCCCAGCTCCGGCAGGAAACCCAGATGTAGAAGTAACAGCTGGAGTTTGAGCTGCAACAGAATGGTTCTGTCTCCCTGCTGATTGACCACCAACAGGTTGCTGAGAAAATGTACTCTGCAAAGTGTCAACAGAACCTGGCTTAGCTGAAGGTTGAGATCCAGCAGGAGACGGGACAATTGCTGGTGATACAGCTAGACTACTTGTAGATGATGCAGCTGAGGAGGAACTTTGTGCTGGCTGGGCAGGAGTTACAGAAAATACATCTCCAAAGAGTGAGTCAGGGGCAAATCCATTCCCTGAGACTTTAGAGTCCTTAACTGCTGATTGGTTGGAGGCAATAGCTGCATCTTGTGGTTTCGGAACAGGTGTTGATCCAGTAGTCGCTTGTTGTCTAGGTTGAACAGAGGGCATCAAACCTGATCCCGTCAACCCAAATCCATCCTGAGCCGAAGGAGGACTAATTGCCCTGCTTTGATTTTGGGTAGTTGGGACACCCATGCTTCCACCAGGTCGAGGAGCAGCCATGATACTGGCCCTGGGCACACCTTGGCTTGCAGGCACTTGATGCAAATGAGACACAGAGTTGGAAGGCCCAGCTTGAGGTGGCCTCATAAATTGATTTTGCTGAGGTGAGAAATACTGCTGGTTTATGTTGGCATTTCCAGGCACCTGCGGTGGTCTGACGCCAATGTTTTGTGATGCCACTGATGTAATGCCAGCCATTTGAGGAGCAGCTGTTGGTGCTCTAGGGGCAGGTGCGGCTGCAAGGTTTATCTGAGGAGCAGGAATTTGAGCAGAAGCAGGGCTATATAATGCTGCCCTCACTATATCTGGGGTCAGCTCTCGCTTTCTTTGTGCCACAGTAACAAGCTTAAGGGCATTATAGAACTCTTGTCTACCAAGGTAGCCAGCTTTTCTCTGATCAGCATACGTCCACACCTGAATAGCACAGAAGTGGACACTTACTATGAGTTTAATCCAGCAGGATTCAATCTAAAATGAGAAACGATTTGCAGAACCAAAAGCAAAAGGAAACATCAGTTGTTCTGGGAAAAGAAATGGAAAAGACACTTTCTTCCTTTGAGGAGAAGTTAAAACTTGTCAATCAGAGCATAGAATCCAATGGGCTTAATTACCAGTACACAACAAATGTAACCAGGTGAGCCAGCAAAATTGAGTGAAGAGCAAATTTATAACTACATCCAAAAACATCAAAACAGATAAACCAAATAAGTTTACGAATTTCATATCCCACAATGGAAAGATGTATTCATAATTCCATCTTAAACTCAAACAGCTAAATACATTATGGACTTAAGTACATGATAATACAAATCTACAATCCCACCATCACTTCCTTACAGTCAGCCTCCGCCACGATTAAAAGTCAAACTCGCAACAACTCCTAGAAGCAACTAAAAACTAGCAGCTACTAGATACTGAAGGTAACACCCTTTATTGCATTGTAACCTATCAGGTTTTGGACTGAAACACCAGAGAGCTAACAAAGTTGTATCTATTGAGATCTTAACTCAAATACCAACATTCCTTCGTCATTTATTAACTAATGAAACGGCAAACAAATAAAAGCGAGAGGAAAGCATGGAAATGACACATTACTCAAATAAAAAATCAGAATTAGAGGGATTGATCACTCCAATTAGAGCGAAAAACTAGAAAATACGATCTGCAACTTCGTAACCTAAAATTAAAGCTAAAGCAATAAGTTTTTGGCAAAGGAAATAGGAGAATTGAGAAATTACAAGTACCTGAGCAAGGACTGGTTTGGGCAAACCAGAACCTTGAAAGAAAGCAACGGCTTCAGCTCCGCTAATCTGACCGTCGCCATCTAAATCTGCTCTCTTGAAATATGAATCGAACAGATCTGTATTCGCCATTTTCAATCAAATCGAATCTCATACGATACAAATCCAACCCCTGTCGCCGGATAATTTAAACGATCGCTTGCACAGCTTTTTATTAATTAATAATAATTAAAGATATTAATATATGAAAATCGATCGCCCAACGCAAGGCTAGAAAGAGAAGAGAGAGAAGGAGGGCATGCACTGACGGTAAAAGGAAGAAAAAACCCGACCCCACCAACAGGCTAGCTTCGCCCATTCCGTGCGTGGCTAAAAGTCATTGGGTGCAAATATAATTTTACAAACGTTGTCGTTTTTGTAATACCAGTGACTATATCACCGTTTTCTTTTTTCCGCTCATAAAACGGTAGCGTTTTTGCAGCTCAACCACAGTTAAAATTCACTCTCGCGTCTCAATTGTTTCAGACTTACTGTTAGGTGAACGGAGTTAAAAGGGGATAAAAAAAATTAACCATCTTCTGAAAAAACCAAAATGGGCAATTAATTGGCCCAGCCACTCTGCAAAACTTCTCTAAGGTAAAAAAGTTTTTACTTTGAAGTTTTACCTTTTAAGGATTTTACAATTGTAAAGCTGTTTTTCAATAAATACTCCCTCGTTACTCAGATGTATTCTTTATCTACGAAAATCTTTATTGTCAAATTATACATATGTTCATCATTAGACTATGTCTTAACGTGCATTAGATAATCATTTCAAGAAAGAATTAATTAAATTTCCAAATGATATAATAGTGCAACATGATGGACTTAAAATGCATTGTACAAATTATTTATCCATGACCTCAATAAAAATATAAAAATTTTGATTATTTGAAAGATAAGAGTAGATAAAGCTATTTCAATACTTAAAAATGAGACGGTGCATCAGTTAAATGAATTCATTATAGAGCTAATACAAAATAAAGGAACTGCTTATTTTAGCTCGAGTAGATTTTGCAACTACTAATACTACAAATGATGACAATTTATCATATACAATAAGTTTCAGAACAACCTAAAATTTGTCGAAGTTTCTAATTATGATGTATAATTAAAAATCAGTGTCTCTATTGTGCTTCTTATTAACTTTAATCACAGATAGAGGTTTTGTGCAATGGCAGAATGTTGATCATAAATCGTATTGGCAAATAGTTCATAACAACATCAATAACTTATGAAATAAATATTGGCAACAAAGTGATAATTCTATGTGAATCATAATATCAAGGTGGAATATTTAAATATTAATTAAAAATATAGTTTATAAGAAAATCTTCAAAACATACGTGCAACAATTTATAAATAAAAATGTACTAGAGCTAGGGGCGGATTGAAGGTTTGTCTATTGGGATTGGGCATGGACGAGCCTCGGTTGAGCCAGCATTGATGAAAAAATGAAATATGAAAATAATTAAATAAAAAAAACTTCTCCCATCACGTCCGGTGTAGGATTAAAGATCAGGTCCAGGATTCGAATCAAAGACATAAGTTCAATTTTACCATTTCTTTTCATTTTTATTGTTAATATTTTTTATATAAAAGGTTTCACTACTAAATTCACCGAGTTTTATATAAATCTCCAATTTGAAGATTATATTAATCAGATTTTTTTTTTAATATTGGAAAAATGAGATTCGAATCCAGATCTATAACCAGATCATAAATGCATTTATCACTAGACTATATTTTGATGTGTTTTTATTAATCAGACTTTAAACGATGTTCCGATCAAACTCACTTATATTGTAGTTGTGGTATAAATAGATGAGTGAGTGATTTAGTTTTATGATTGTCGATCCAATTCACCCCTATATTTTATTGTCTGCAACATAAATTTTTGGTAAGAAATTATAATAGTTAAGCTTTATAATCACAATTGCACCACACATATTGTTTTGAATTAGTTTGGTGAATCAAATATGGGTTTTTACATTAGTATTACATAAATTAACCCATTAATTTTTTTTTATCAAGATATAGTTTTTTCTTATTTAAATCTCAAGATTTAGCTTTTATGTGAGATTTTGATTAGTTTGAGATTATTAATTTGGGAAAAAAAAAACACATTCCTGAATTATAGTAAAAGTAACACATAGCTCCTTTTATATTTGAATACTGACTCGAACATCCTTAAATTAACATTTTATTGTACAATTACCTCCTTCCGACTAAAATTATCTAATTTTTCGTTAATGGTAAAGAAAATATCCATATTATCCCTTGATCATTAATAAAATTGTTGTCAATTTATAGACATTTAATTAACAATAATTAAAAAACTAAAAAAAAAAAAAAAAAAGCGGAAAAAAAAAAAACACATTCCTGATGTATAGTAAAAAGTAACAACCATAGCCTTCCTTTTATATTTTTGCAAAATACATGACTCGAAACATCCTTAAATTAACATTTATTGTACAATTTACCTTCTTCCGACTAAAAGTATTTCTAATTTTTCGTTAAATGGTAAAGAAAATATCCATATATATCCCCTTGCATCATTTAATAAAATTGTTGTCAATTTATTAGACCATTTAATTAACAAATAATTAAAAAACTAAAAAAAAAAAAAAAAAGTAAAAAAAAAAAAAAAAAAGTATTGTAGTGGCTCTTTCAGCTCCAACACCCATGGAAAAAATGCACAGATCAATAAAACCTAACACAGAACATCAAATAGGAAAAGAACATCCTTCTTTTTTCTTCCTCTCTTTACAATCCATCAACACCCATTTACAATATCAACATGTATCAAGCTCAAGCCTCCATTGCAGAACCACCGCAACCTCCGCCACAACACTCAAGCCTCCTATTCTCACAAATTTTATATGGGTCAATAATAATATATAGTTTTGGTGTTAGATCTAAAGAATCTTCACTTCAATTGTTCCCAAAGAATTCGTTCATCTTGGTCTCCAAGCTGTCAAATTTTTTTTCCTTAGAAAGTTGACACGTGGCATATTCCTCTAATTAGGCTTCCACTTGACATGGTTTAATTTGATTATTTAATGTATTAATGTATTGACTTGGTTTGATTTCAATTTATTTTGAATTAATATTTTGGTTTGGTTTGGTTTGATTATTCAATGAATTAATGTATTAGTTTAGTTTGGATTTATTTTAAGTTAGTGTTTTTTATTTGATTTGATTTGATTATTTAATGTATTGGTTTGGTTTGAATTTATTTTGAATTAGTATTTTTAGTTTGGTTTGATTTGGTTATTTAATGTATTAATGGCTTTAAGTAATTATTATTGATAAAATTTAATAACAATGAATTATTCGATTAATGTTCAATGTATTGCTTTGAACAAATGTTTACTCTTATATTTATGAAGTAACAAATGTTTCTTTTAACAACCATTAATATATCTTTAAAGTTTCCATTTAAAAAAAAAAAGGTATAGTAACGCACTTTTTTCAAAAAAATTTTAAATTATTTACCCTCAAGAAATACTCTAGTTTTTTTAGAAATACTATATATAAGTTGTATCACTATATTTTTCTGTATTCTTGGCAAAAGTGTATTAGTCCCTGCTTATATATATATATCTAATCATAATAAATATATAATATTTTGTACAAATTAGAATTCTGCATCAACTATTCCATTAATGCAGTCTATTCTCTTACTCAATTTTTGTCTACTTTTTAAAGTACTAATATATTTCTTATATGCACAAGATTTCAAATTAAGACATATGCATGATTATAAATTGTTAAATCTTTATATGGATTTGAAAAATAAAATTAATTTACGGATATGAATTAAACGTCTCAAATGTAATCCGAATTAAAATAACATTATAGATAATAGAGCTTAAGTAAAATTAATATCACTTTAATATATACAATAAATTCAATAATTATAAATTTAATGATTTGTGCCAGTATATGTTTGGTATAAAAAAATTAAAAATTTTTTTATTAAATTAAATTATATTAAAATAATTGATAATTAAAAATATTAATAATCTAATAATTAAAAATTTATACAACGTTATTTTTTACATTAATTTTAAATTAAATCCAATTAATAAATTTTACCACCTTTCATTTTGATTTTTTTATTTATCTCTATAAATTTCAATATTTTCAATCAATATTCCTGAACATAGGCCTATCTACTAATTTTTACTTTAATAATTAAATTTTAATAATCAAAAGTCACGCTATAGTTTTTTTTCTCCCTTAATCTTGTTTCAATAAACTAATTTAGGTGTTGTCCTTCTTCTATTTTAGTTTTAAACTTTCATATTTTTATATGGGGTTTTAATTAATTTAAAATTATTAATTTTCACGAACAATTAACTGAAAAATAAATATGAAGATTAAGTAGTAGAATAGAGATAAGACTGATATATAATTAAATTTTGAAAATAATATCCTTATTAATGTGTTTAAGTACAATTAGAAAATTAAATAATAATTGAAAAAATCTAGGAAAATATGTAAATGACTGTATTTACAAAGCAACAAAGAAAGCTTTGTGTGAGAGAGAGAGACAGATAGAGAAAAGGTGCACTGACTTAACTTTCTATAACAATTCAAATCCAGCTGAGATAAGAGTGAGGAAGAATTAATCAATAATAGAAAAAAATTTTTTTTTTCACCCTTGGAAGTGCTCATTCAATAATAATAATAATAATTGCCTTTTTGCTATACATTTCTTTCTATTCTAATAAAGGGGAGAGAATATTTTAGTACCCAAAAAACCCAAACAACCTAAAAAAAAAAATTATAAAAAATATATGAATAGGACTGAAAACTAATACCATAAAGTCCTGGGAATGGTTAAATTAGGTAATATTAGTGTTATAATCTTCATTCAATTTTAGTAAAGGCAATTTTCTTTTTTTTTTCTGTGTATAATAATTTATTTTTAATAGGTTAGTGTAGTCTTATGTGCTTTTAAATATGCCTATATATAACTAATTATTAGCTGGTCCAGTCGGATGAGGCGTTGGATCCCTTAAGTAATATCTAGCGTTCAAACCCTGATGTTGTGAATGAAAAAACACTAAGTTAGAAGGTGGACGGTATAAAAAAAAAAAAAAATTATTCGACAACTATATTTTTGATCATATATAAAATTTGAAGTACTAAATTTATGATTTTAAATTTATATATAAAAATAACAAATGGAATTTATTTTAATTTATTGGGAGGCTAGTGAACCGAATACAATATAGGGTAGTCCTCTCCTTCATCCACCAACAAAATTGATGAAAACCTTTATAGTCAAGATGATTCAAACTCTCGAACTCGAGACAACTTACTCCTCACGTAAATGAAAAGACCAAACTAATGGATAAACAAAATAAAATTTTAGAACCAAGTTATCTAATAAAATAAACTTCCAAAAGTTTATTATATTGAATTAATGCTACTCTAATATTTTAGTTACAAGATATATATACAATTTATTTATTAAATTATTATTACTAAAATGGTATTAATCATCAAAAATTACCAAAACAGTGAGACAAAATTAGATGATGATAGGGGAGAAGAGATAAGAAATTTCAATATCAATAATAAAATTCAAAAGGGATGGACCATTGGTTATAGAAAACCTCCAATCATGAAATCATGAGAACAAGTAGAAGAAGCAAAAATAGAAAAAAAAAAAAAAAAAGGATTAGCTATGACCAAACTCCTAATAATTATATTAGGCAGTTGGCTAAGGCGCATCAAGCAAAATAGGAGTTGCTCAGAACCCTTTCCTTTGATTTGTCCGGTCCACCTAATATCCAACCAAAAAGATAAACAAGAAAAGCACAAAACCTACTTTGGTTTTATTTTCAAGCATATTATATATAAATTAATTTATTTTCAAAAAAAAATATGTATTTACAATATTATAATAAATTTGTTAATGTTTGAAAAATATTTTTCTTATTTAGGGTATGTTTGGCAAAATTAGTTGTTTTGATAGATATTAGTTGTTCTAGTAGTGTTTAGCTATTAGCTGTTTCGGTAGTTTTTCATAAAACGCTAAAGTTAGACGTTACATGAGTTAATTTTTCACAAAATGCACCTTAACTCATTAAAACTAGTTCAAACACGATGTTACCAAATACTATAAAAAGCAGCGTTTAACGTTTTGATTAGTTAAATAGCTAAAATCTATTTAAAAAGCTGTTGACGAATATAGCATTAAAAGGAAATTTTTCTTCCCTCTTATAGATCTGATGTGCGTGAGCTTGATTATACTTGGTCCAATGGATCAAGGACATTTGTGATATAAACCAGAAAAACAGAAAAGAGACAATCGGCTGATTATTCTAGACACGTAAGACATAGAAAACTCAGATTATTATTATTTTTCCAATAATGATAATAACAATTGTCAATCTTTATATATATATTGATATTATAAATAATAGATAATATGGTATTAAACGCTATTTTGAAAGTTGTTATTGCATGTTAGCTATTTTGGGCAAAAATCAACTATTAGCCGTTGCTTAGGTGTTTAAATAACTTTTCATAAAACGCTAAAAAATTAAACATTTTAAAAAAACCTACCTTAACCACCAAAGCGATTGTCAAACACAGCCTTAGTGGCGTTTAGTTATTTGAATAATTTTTTATAAAATACTAAAAACTAAATATTATAGGAGTTAACTTTTTATAAAATGCTATCTTAACATCTAAGCTAGTTCAAATGATATGTTACTGAATATTGTAAAAAATAGCATTTAGTCAGAACGTTAAAAGTTACTTAAAAAGTTATCGTAAAACCCAACTTTTAACAAACTAGTAGAATTTATTGATTTTTTAACAAATTAAAATAATATTATATATTCTTTTGAATAATAAAATTAAAATATAAGAGATAACATTAAATTTTTTGGCTTGAAAATGATTTGATAAAAGATATAAATTTTTATAGAACTTGCGATATATGATGTATGCAGAATAGTTGCCGTGGCTATATATCAGAAAATGAATTTAATAAATTAATAAATAATATCACTTTATCACAAAATAAAATTGAGTGTTGAATAAAAAATGTAATTAAAAATTATAAAGAAAAAGGACAAAATGGTAAAATTAGGAAGAATACCTTTAAAAAGGAGGGAGGCCAACGCCAAACCAACAAATTTACAAAGACAAGACCCACATAACACACCAAAGGCAGGAAAGTGGAAGGAAAAAGAGAAAAAAGTGGAGAAAACAGAGACAATACCCTTCCCTTTGTATTGAAGGCCACACAATTTCGCAGTCTTCTCCTTCTCCCTCTCTCCTTCTCTCTCCCTTTACCTGCAATATACCCTTTTAACATATAAACAAAACCTATCTTCTTCTCTTTCTCTTTGTTAATCAATACTGTAATAATCCAGATCAATCAAAGATTCATTCAGTGATTGGTTGATTGCAAGCTGCAACTCGATCTGACTGCAACGAAACGATGTCGTGTTCTTCTTCGTCGGGTTCTGAGTCTGAGGATGATGAGGGAATCGACTCTTACAGGAAAGGTGGTTACCATGCCGTTAGAGTCGGCGATCAGTTTGCTGCTGGCCGTTATATTGCTCAGAGGAAGCTCGGCTGGGGCCAGTTTTCAACCGTCTGGCTTGCTTATGACACTCAATCCTCTGTACGTCATCGTTTTGGTTATTGGTTTTTGGTTTGATTTTGATCTGTAAGTTTTTTTTTTTTTTGGATCATCCAATAACTGCCTTGCTATGCTCTGCTATGCTCTGCTTTGCTCTGTTCTACTGCATATCATTTCTATATCAAGTTTTTAATTTACAGATTTTGTGTCGTTATTAATTTCTATTTATGGTAAGACTTTTGTTTCTATGAGATCAATGTAATTTTTCAATTGTATGGATATGGACAAAGGATTTACTCTTATCTATCTTTCTTTTTTTTATTATTATTTTTTTATTTTTTTAAGTTTTACGTGCCTCAAAAGAATTGGATATAATTGTTGAAAAGTCCGTAAATTTCTTATTTTGGTTGAATTTTTTTCCATATAAATATAGTGGAATTATAGTTAGTGTGGTATTAACCATTTCATTGAGGAACCTTGCCAGAGACATTCAATTTGTTGGAACTTAAACACGTCCTTGTGGGTTTTTTTTGTCACCCAAAAATTCCAATTTTTAAATGATAAGTAAAGTAAATATTTTTGGATTATGTTTGTGTTGTGTGTAAGCCGGAGAGAACTCTTGAGAGGGTAACTGTGGAGGACTTGACTAGATAATTTCCTGGTTGAAGTCTCAGTTGATTTAAGCTAGTTGTGTACAATATTAGTCATGCACTTTCGCCACTTATCTAACCAATTGTTGGAATGCGCATACGTCAGGCCTGTGCTGCTATCAGTGCAGATGTTACCATTGCCTATCACTTAAAGCCTTCATTTTTGATTGCTTTCCCAACCTTTCCAGGTTCAATTAAAACGTCTGTAGCTTTTCTTTTCTTGAGTTCATAATTTGTTTTCTTATTCTATTTCTTTTCAATTTTCAGAATTATGTTGCTCTTAAAATCCAGAAAAGTGCAGCGCAATTTGCTCAAGCTGCCCTTCATGAAATTGAAGTCCTTTCAGTTATAGCTAACGGTGATCCGTCTAATGCCAAGTGTGTTGTGAGGCTGATTGACCATTTCAAGCACGCAGGACCAAATGGGCAACATCACTGCATGGTCCTTGAGTTTCTCGGTGACAGCTTACTCCGTTTAATCAGGCATAGTCGTTACAGAGGTCTTCCTTTGAATAAAGTTAGAGAGATATGCAAATGCATTTTGATAGGCCTGGATTACTTGCATAGGGAACTTGGTTTGATTCATACTGACCTAAAACCTGAAAATATTCTTCTAATTTCCACCATCGATCCTGCTAAGGATCCAATTAGATCTGGCTTCACACCAATTCTTCAAAGGCCTGAAGGTAGCCTTAATGGTGGAGCTACAATGAATCTCATTGAGAAGAAGTTGAAAAGAAGAGCTAAGAGGGCAGTTGCTAAGATTGCAGAAAGACGGACTTCAATGGGAGTACCTGTGAAAAAGCCCGAAAAATGCTTGGATGGGATTGATCTGAGGTGCAAGGTTGTTGATTTTGGAAATGCATGTTGGGCTGATAAACAGTTTGCAGATGAGATTCAAACAAGGCAATATAGGGCGCCTGAAGTCATTCTGCGATCCGGGTATTCCTTCTCTGTTGATATGTGGTCATTTGCTTGCACTGCTTTTGAGCTTGCTACAGGTGACATGATGTTTACTCCCAAGGTTGGACAAGGATACAGTGAGGATGAGGTAAGGATCCTATCTAGCATTTCCAGAAATAATACCTTTTACAGTAACATCAATTTATCTTTACTTGTTTAAATGCAATTTATATTTGATATGTATTATGCATAGAAAATAACAAATATGGGAAGACTACCGTGATGAAATTCCATGCATCCTTTTGCTTTTAACAGTTTTATTATGGACTAAGCAACAAAGAGAGATGGATTGATTGGAAAATAAATTGCAACCTAAAAATTATATGAATGACCACGATTTGGCTTGTCTGCAGAGAGCTTATTGTTGGGTAAACCTGTTGTTGTACTGATATATAATAAGACTGACTTTGAATTTCTGTTCCCTGGTAATAGTTGCCTTCACCTTTTTTTATCATTTGAATTATATGTAAAAGAAACAAATGGGATTATGGTTTGAATTATGGACTGACCTTGATTCTTGACTTGATTGGTTAATATGTCATTTCTCTTAGCTAGCTAGTTAATTAGTCAACCAAGTACATATTAGCACTATATTTCCGAGATTTACATGATAATCATGGAAACATCTTTGGTTTCAGGATCACCTTGCTTTAATGATGGAACTCCTTGGAAAGATGCCCCGAAAGGTTTGCTCAAAGTTTGTTAGTTGCTTATGACATTTATTCAATTAGTTGTCGCTCATTCATCTCTTAATTATTGCATGAGCAGATAGCCATTGGAGGAGCTCGATCCAAGGATTTCTTCGATAGGTATGGGGATCTAAAAAGGATTCGAAGGCTGAAATTTTGGCCACTTGATCGCTTGCTGATTGATAAATACAAATTTCCTGAGAACGATGCTCGGGAGTTTTCAGAATTTCTTTGTCCTCTTCTCGATTTTACACCAGAGAAGCGGCCCACTGCTCAAAAGTGCCTGCAACACCCTTGGCTCAATCTCAATAGTTCTGCTCAGATTGAGATGAAAAATGAAGATGGAATAGAAAAATTGCACGTTGGGATGAGCAACCTTCAACTTAAGTTGGGTAAGTGAAGAAGGGATTTTAGGTGTTGGCACCATTTTCAAGTCCCTCCCTCCGCCTATATGAATATTAATTGTTCTTTTTATTATTTTTGGGTTTGTTACATTTTTAATAAGATTTTTTTTTTCTTACTATTGATTAACTAAAATGTAAATTAGTAATTGATTATTGTGAGGAAATGACATGAGAGGGAGAGAATTAACTGCAATGACAGTCAATGGTATCAGAACAATATACATGCTTTCCACATGTAATTGATTTTACATTCATATTAGTAAAAGAATGTGTTACAACATAAAGGGTTTTGCCCCTTTTGAGAATAGAAATAATGGTTGACTTCATTTTTATCATGTTTTTATTCTGTTGGATGTCGTTTGTTTGCTGCAATAACCAATTTATTATTGATAAGACTTGAACATGAGGTCTTAGTAAAAATTTATTATCAATGAGACTCGAACTTGACATCTTTCGTAATAACGAGCTGTTAACTCAATGATGGAGCTCGCCCCTTATAATTACATCGATGCTAAGAGCTCTTTGCTAAATGGATAGTTTGATGTATTCATTGAGAATCGGTTTTTTCTTATAAAAAGTGAGAACTTGTTAGATTTTAATATGTTCATCACGGGGTTGACTTTTTTTTTTTCTTGTAAGAAGTGAGAATATCAATTAAACTTTATTATAACTGATCAATTTTTAAGTTTGATATAATTAATTATTTATTTCCTTATTTAGATAAATACATTAAAATTTTGAGATACAAAACTGTTAACATGAAAAGACAAAATTGTCCTCTCTATCTCCATTATCTTCTTCTTCCCGCTGCCATCGTTTTCTTCTTAAAACAAGAAACAGTACATGGTAATGGATATATATAGAAATTTAACATAAACCTTAATGAAATATCTAATGACATCCTCTCTGTAATTCTGAGATTTAATTAGGGTACATTAAATATCAGATCTATAGCACATGGCTTTACTTGCGGTATCCAATAATTAAGCATATGCCGGAATTTTAAAAAAAGAAATGTACGAAATAGCCTGTTAAGTTGCACCGGCGTTGACAGAACCACCACATCAGCTGATGCCAGAGCTACTGGTGTTAGAATTAATGGTGGACACTTTTCTCACTCACTTAACTGAGATGAGTGTTGAATTTTCATATATAGAGCAAATACTCACTGAGAACACTTTATCTCTATTGATGAACTGATCAAATGCATTCGCATATTAAGATATAGTTTAGTGGTAAGTGTGACTGGCAATAAACCAGAGTCGGCGAATTATTATGGTTGACCACGAGAGATGGAACCAAATACCGGAAATAGCCTCGGGTCAAAGATATGAATGAATAAATATAATCTTAATAATTTAATATTTTTTCCTGATATTTCGGGAACTTTGAATTTACTACAGAAGTGAGGGTTTTGATAAAAATAATGTTCTCTATAAAACTATTTTCCAATCTAATGTCATTTCAAAACTATTTACTAATTTAATGTTTATTCTGACATGGAGAGAAAGTGTTGGACTAAAACCACAAATTGAGTTGGTAGTTTTAGTGCAATAGAAAAAATAATCCATACTGACAAGCAGTTAGCAAAAAGTAATATGAATAAACAATACTTTTTATTTATTGAGATCACCGATTCAATTGGTGGTTTCAATACAAAATGAAAATTTCAAGTTGTCAATTAACCTTTTCACTAAAACACATAATTTGTTTGGTGGTTTTAGTGCAACTATGAGATGTGACCACTAGTCGGCAAAAAGTACATGGGTAAATAATGTTTTGTTAAGAGTCTACCAGATTAATTAGTGGTTTCAATAAAAAAAATATTTATTCATTCAAAATATTTATTCACCAAAACATACATATAATCTGTTGATTTTGATACAATACATTTGATATGTGCAACGAACTAGACGTTGGATTTCATTTTGAGGTGTAGAAGTTAGAGATGTGGTAATTATTCAATATCTTTTTATCTTATTTTATAATTTCTTAATCTAATTGAATAATAAATTTTGTGCTTATTTCCATAATATTTTTTAATACAGGTAGATTGGCTCCAACATATATATCACAGTTCAACATCACCAACATTCTGTCGAAAATTATTTAGCCTATTTGGTGCAATGAATGAAGAAATTCGTACCGACACTCATCCTATGCTTCAACCTGCCCCTCCATCTATAAAGTTTCCTCGTGTTCAAACACCAAAAGAACTATAGAGGCGAAGGAGACATGAAATGACATCTACACGTATTCCAGTTGAAGCCCCGCTAGTAGACGATATACCTCGAGTCCCTCCCCCTATGACATATAACTATTCTGAAGGTTACCGCGCTAATATGCCCACCATATTATCTTCTGCACCACAACTTGAGTGGAGTGTACCATCTGCAGCATTAGAAATGTCATTGAACATTTATTACACTACGATGATGGAAACCCAATAAACCCATACTTTTTACTCCGAAATAGGCGAGGCAATGCATTTTCAATATACAATACATGCTTTTAATACTTATGTGGTGGCTTTCGACATGTGATAGATCTACATCTCATGCTGGGCACTCATTTAATGATTTATTTAAGATAATGATGATAACCGAGCAACAGACTCATCTGACCTTTTTCTATCCCACAAAAACCATTTGTGAATGTGGTTCAAGCTCCTTGTATGAGTGTCGATATAAATATAGAGCATGGAGAAGAATATCAAGATATTAGAGAAGATGCAGTACACCGAAATCCACATCGTAATAGGAGGCTTCCATGGTGTGGTATAGGAAGACATGTGGGTAGACATATGATTAATTTTTTATGTATTAGTTATTAAGACATTTCTAATATTATACAAGTTCAACTTGAAACACTTTATTACTCTCAGTAATTTTTAACTGTGTAAGGAAACTTATGTTGTTATTACTTAACTTGAAATAATTGTGAACCAAAACCTCTAGATCATATGTGTGTTTTGATGAAAAAATATTTTGAGTGACCAATTATTTTTTTTTATTGAAACCACTAATTAATCTGGTGAACTCTTAACAAAATACTATTTCCCTGTGTACTTTTTACTGACTAGTGGTCACATTCCATAATTGCACTAAAATCACCAAACAAATAGTGTGTTTTTAGTGAAAACACAAATTGACAATTTAAAATTTTCATTTTGTATTGAAACCACAAATTGGATCGATAATCTCAATACAAAATAAAAATTATTTTTTATTCATATAATTACTTTTTGTTGACTGCTTATCAGTACAAACTATTTTTTCTATTATACTGAAACCACCAACTCATAACTCAATTTATGGTTTTAGTTAGATTAGTAAATAATTTTGAAATGACATTAGATTGAAAAATGATATATCAGATAATTATGTGCGTATTAATTGTATTAAGAATTATATTTTCAAAATATTTTTAAAATAAATTTTATTTTAATATGAAAAGTGCTCAAAAGTTATCACCAATTTGATTAATTGTATTAAAAATTATATTTTCAAAATATTTTTAAAATAAATTTTATTTTAATATGAAAAGTGCTCAAGAGTTATCACCAATTTGATACGGACACATTAAACCTTTCAATAAATAAAAAAACATTTTAAAAGGAAAGAAATTGATTTTAATAAATAGTCTCTAGCTTCTTAATTTAGGAAAAGAGACGTCTTCAGGAAATTTAGCAAATGCGCAAAATTTGCTCCTCTCACTTTCAACCTCCAATTGAGATGCCGTTTCACTTCAAATGCCTAGAACTACTTTTTAGATATTTCGACAAAAATTGATCTAACAGAAATTATTTTTCTAATAGAAAGGGAAAGCTTAGCTTTTTGACAAAAAAAAAAAAAAAAAAAGAGAACGTCTTCAGGAATTTAGCAAATGCGCCAAAATTGCTCACTCCTCCTTTCCAACCCTCCAATCTGAGATGCGTTTCAACTTCAAATGCCTAGAACTACTTTTTAGATATTTTCGACAAAAATTTGATCTAAACAGAATTATTTTTCTAATAAGAAAGGAAAGCTTAGCTTTTTTGGACAAAAAAAAAAAAAAAAAAGTACTGTTGAAACACTTGATAAACTTATTATAAACAAAACCCCAAGTTGCCTGCAAAAAAAAAAAAAAAAAAAAAAAGTACTTTTGAACACTTGATAAACTTATTATAAACAAAACCCCAAGTTGCCTGCAAGAGACTCAACTTTTAAAATATACAATTTTTCTTTTAATGAGTTCAACTTCATTACAAAAACCAAAAATGAACAAGATAATCAAATAAAGCCGTTTCTATATTTAAAAAAAAAAAGCATCACGAATCCTACCTCAACTATCAACTTCTATCTTCAGAGTCACAACCTGTTATGAGAAGGTTTTGACTATTATGATTGAATGACTTTATTCTGTTTGACACATGCAGGTGCCTTGAACTCCTGGCATTTCCTCATTGGAGCAACTTCTATTGGCATCATATTATCTGCAGAAGGGTCCATAGAAAACAATGGCTTATTACGAGTTGTAGGATTGCCAATGTTCTTATCACCCAATGGGGAACTTCTAAGAAAGCTATCATCTTTGGGGTTTGCTTGATCTCTAGAGCTACAAATGCTTAATGGCAACTTCTTTAGTTTCAGTCTTCCTCTCTTTTTACCTGGTGAACTTGCATCTCCTGTCATTTTCTCTTTTGACTGACTTGATTCTGCTTCCCCACTATCTATCTCTAATTGGGTTGCTTTTTCGTACTTTGATGTCTTCTCATCTGCCATACTCGTGTATACTTCACCAATGGAGCCTTCTGAATCCAATTCACCTGCTATAGCATGCCCATTGCATATAGATGATGGATTTCCTCCAAATGCTACGCTTCCATTGGAAACCCAAGTTTTTTCAGAAGTTGGTGAGCTTTTAGGCTTCTTACTTTTATGACCCTTCCAATCGGAACTGGAAGAGTTCTTTGAAATTCTAGGAGAGCTGTTTATAACTCTATGCAACTTGCGAGCTAACTCTTCATCATCTCTATAATTCTCAATAGGTTGGTGCTTTTTGTACAAAAGTTGAACCTGCACATGCTTCTTCTGCTTATTCTTTTTTAATTGTCTCTCTTTGTTAGCTGCCTCTTCAGGAAAAGACGCAACTAAGGCCAATGCACTTTTAGCAGCTGTTATAGCTTTAGCTGCAAGAATAGCTTTCTCTTGCGCAGCAGCTCTTGCAGCTTCTGCTGCTTTAGCAGCAGCATCAGCTGCTGATTTTGAGGCCTCTACAATTTGCTCAGGTGAAAGATTATGGTTATTTCTAAAATGAGAACTCAACAGATTGTTGAGACGGCTTTGAAGTTCACTTGAAGTTGGAGAAGGGGCAGTTGGAGACGGAGGAGACAATGATGGAGTAGACGGAGATGGAGATGAAGGAGATGCCGAAGATGAGGAGGAAGCAATTGTAGGAGGGACCAAAAGAGCATCACCATCAGAACTCTGTTTCTTGAATCCAGCAAGCAAGCGCTTACGAGGAGGCAAAAGGACATCAGCATCCAAGTGATTGATGTCACATATATTAGCCTCCATTACTCCTGTTCTAAATTCAACTATTTACTGCGAATGACTTCAGATTCTGTATCTATCAAACTGATGCCATCTTCCCAACTACATTCAAGCTAAAATAATAAAAACAAGATCACAAAATCAGTATCAAAACCTATCACCAAACCCTAATTCCAATACAAATTGCAAAAATCAAAACAAAATTTTCTTAAAATCAAAATCAGTTGATAAATTATTTCTTTTGAATCAGATCATAATTTCACGATTCAGGTAACCGAACCAGTTCCATTTATTTTTCAATCAAAAATGAATCCACCTAAACCCTAATTTCGATTCACCTAACTAAATCCGATAAACAATCAACCACTGCGCGGTTGTCATAGTTAGCCAGATAAAACAAAACGTATCAAACATACAATGCAAAAAACCTGGAAAGAGGTCTGAATTCTGGTCTTTCTCGGGACACAAACAGAGTCCATCATTGAATTGAATTGACCAAACAAAACAAAAGGATATCAAATTCAAAGCAAGAGCAAAATTCAAAACAGACAACATGCAAAAAATAATAATAATAACAATAACATACAGCTCTGAAATCATTTCAGCTGAGAAAATTCTGCAATTATTATAAGAATCAAGATCAAAAACAGGGAATCAGAGCAAGAGAAGTGTCAATCCAGAATGCCAGAAGCTCGATTCATTTGAATTATACAAATCTAACAGAGGAATCAAAAGCTGGCAAGAATAGATATGGAAAGAGATGGATGATTAGAGCTGGATTTGAATTGAATTCTAAGTACCTGATCACTTCATTTTACGGTGAGAGAGAGAGAGAAACGGCGACTTTGAATTAGGGTTTTTTTTTTCTTAGGTTGCAGAGGGGGGTGGGGGGGTACAGGAGGAAGAAGAAGAAATCCAGGTAGAGAGGATAATCAGAATATGTTACCTTTTTATATTTATATAAAAATGTCAGATTGGCATTTTTCCATTGGTTCTGTTTCTAGAACTCAAAGACCCAAATCCCCTAAATTTCTTCTTTTTTTAAAAAAAATTAGTAAATTTATTACACAACTAAATTTGATGCTCCTCTTTTTTTTGTCTAAGTAACATTGTTTTGCTTTTAATTTACAGCATTACCTTCCCCCCAAATTACATTATTACCACTAACATTTTCTTCTTTTTTTTTTTTTTTTTTTTTTACCACTACATTTTCTTATTTATATTTTATTTTCTTATTTTTATATTAATACAGTTGATATGAAGAGGCACACGAATGTTTATTAACGTTAGTTGGAATAATGAAGATTGTTTGTTTTTTTTTTTTTTTTTTTTTTTCATTGTGAGGCCACGAATTAACGTGATAGTTACATTTTTATACACTTATTCTCCTTATTAAATTGGTGAAAATTCTTATGATTGAGAGTACTCAAAACTCGAGAATGGCACTCCTTATATTAACAAGAAGACTAATTACATCACATTTGAATCAATTACATACGTCAAAAATGCATATTTTTCTCAGGAAATTATATTTAAACAGGCGTTTAATTGAACTTTGTCATGTTATTGAATCATACCTAATATGCAGGTTATAAAATGTTTATTAAGATTTTAATTAGCTACTGATAACTGATAGTTTTATCAATAATTAGATGAAATAATTAATATATGTTGATAAGAATTATAAAAAACAATAGATAAGTGATGAAATAATTAATATATTGTTGGGCATTTGGTTTTTGATTGATAAAGATTGAACGCGTTTGATAAAGATTTTAATCAATAGTTGACAATTGATAAAAGTTCCTAATTAATTCTTGAAATTTTGAATTTTTTCATCAATTGTTAGATGATTTTTATTTATGTTATATTAGTTCTATAAAATAATTACTGATAAAATTATTTGAAAATATCGTTATCGTTTTATTTATAATTAATTAATTATTATAAAATGTTTAATTAATATTTTTAATTATATAGCATATTTAAATAAAAAAAACAATGGATTCACCTTAAAAAATAAAAAAAAAATAGCTTATAATTTTTGAAATAATAATACCCTTGGACATTATACATTTTAATAATTACTGTTATTAAAATTTTACTAAACAGACTGACATGCATCAATTAACATCTATTAGTAATTATTACAAGTTAATACTCCCTTTTCAATCTTTTTGAAAGAAAAATTATTTTAAAATATTTTGGCAAATATTTAGAAATTACTTCTTTTATAGTTAAAAATTAAGATTGTCTAATAGATAATTTTAAGAAGTAATAAAAAGATTTTCAACTAACCTACTGGTTGTAGCTCAATTGGCAACATAGGCTGGGCATGTGGGCATGTGGAAAGAGTTATCGTGTTTAATTCTCACTAAATACACCTCCATGGCAATTTAACAAAAAAAAAAAAAAGATTTTCAACTAGATATTCTAAATAATTAAGAAGTAATTTAAGTAAGGATAATTACAACAATATGTTGAAAGGAAGGATAGAACCTTCGACTAAAAATCCAAGAACCTCAGCCTTCCAAAAGTGTTTTAAATCAAGAGTTCAGTGTAATATTGATTTTCATCATTATTATAAACAATGAAATGAAAATTTCTACATATAATTCTAAATTAATGTTCTACCATCATGTTTGGAAAGAGAGTATGTCGTTGAGCTTGTTATTCATAGCTAAGCTAGAGGCACGGGTGTGTAAACGGGGAGTTCGGTTTCAACCCGAATCTCGAAATTGTTTTACTGTTGAAATCGAACAATATAAAAGTTAGTTCGGAAACCAGATTGAACCTATTAATTTACTTTGGTTTGGTCAAATGGTTTATTTATTTCTTTTGAAAGGAGAAAACATCATTATCTCGAGGAAAATAAATCCAATAAACATTAAGGAATACTATCCTAAATTTGGACATGAGCATATTGATTTTACTCAAAAAATTATTATTTTGTCATAACCGATTCAAAAACCGAAAATCAAAATTATAAAAGATTGAAAACCGAAATTGAAATTGAAAATCAAGTAAACGAATTAAAAACTGAAAATAATTGGATTTGATTCAATTTTGGACTTTTTATCAAAGTTTGCTCACCCTTAGCTAAAATTATTTAATAAGAATTTTAATTGGTAACTCATAATTGTAGAAGTCTTAATGTTTTTTTTTTTTTTTTTTTTTTTAATAGTTTTTTTTTTTTTTTTTTTTTATTTTTTTTTTTTTTTTTTTTTTTTATATCCGTGGCTAATTGATTCTTATTTAACTATTTTATATTATATTCAAAATCTAAAAATAATGACCGTCAATTTTTTAAATTAATATGTTCATATAATCATTTTAATTATGATTATTTAAAAATTAATAAATAACCCTTAAATATTTTAATTGATATTTTTTATTTATATAACAAGTTAAAGTAAAAAATAATACATTTACCATAAAAATAAAAAAATATATAATACATGATATTTTACGAAAGATTTTTGCTCATTTTACTTTTTAATAGCAATTACTACTAAAATTTTATCGAACAATCACCATTTACATTGAATAACTATCAACCACTAGCTACCATATATGATTATAACTGTTTATCACCGTTTACTTTATGAATATAAAATCGTATGGTTTAGTTGTTTATAATAGCTGGTACCTAGTAATAGTTGTTATTAAAATATAAAATGACATTGAATATAAGAATCCAATTATCCGTTTTGGGTCCAGCCCGTACTGATTTTTTCCTGGGCTAGAACATCTTTTATAGCTCAAATAGTCTCTACTAGTCTAAAGTTTATCTATCCTTATGTACATTATTTTCATCTTATACTTAGCTAATATAGAATTTGCCTAGGTGTCACAACAGTTTTAAATTAGACATGAGCACCTTTGTGGATGATTAACAATTTCACCAATTCTTAGCTCGAATTAAAAAAGCAATTATATTTATTTTTATGCCAAATAGTTCGAATAGCTTACCATAATTTCACTTAAAAAAAGAAAAGACAAAAAAAAAAAAAAAAAAAAAAAAAAAAAAAAAAAAAAAAAAAGCTTACCATATTTTATTCACTTTTTGTACTTATCATCCACGCGCACACATATATACAGGATTATCTTTAACACAAATATTTTCACTAGTCACATTACATATGGGTCTATTTTTATGATTTAAAACCATGTTTGGTATGATGTAATCAACCATGTAATAGAATGAGAATTAACATTATATAACCATTACATTGTTTGGTTAGACTTTTTTTTGCACAATGTAATGTAATTGATATTACATGTGTAATCTTCATTACTAATATTCATTACATAAAAAAGGACATATATTGTCCAATACATCGAGCACATGTAATACTAATTACATCAAGTTAATTCAATAAAAACTCTACCATTCAAGACCATTTAATACTATAACCTCACCACCACCGCTCTACCACCACCTCAACCACTCTATCACCACCATAGCGTCACCACTACCACCACCACTTATCCACTACTCCACACCACCTCTACCACCACCACCACCACTGTGCCATAACTACCACCACCACTATTGCTCCACCACCTTAACCACCACCACCATCACCACCTCAATTATCACCACCACCACCACTACCTTAACCACTCTACCACCACTACTGATCCACCACCACCACCATCGCTCCTTCACCTCAACCACCACTATTCCAACACCACCGCTGCTTCACCACATCACCACCATCTTAACTACCATCACCACCACTATCGCTCCACCACCATCACCACTGCTCCATTGCTTCTGCCTCAACTACCACCACCACTTCAACCACTAATCACACCACTACCACCATTGCTTTATCATCTCAGCCACATCGCTCCTTCACCTCAATCACCATTGCCACTACTCCATCGCCTCCACTCAACCACTATCATCACCACTAACGCTCTACCACCATCATCACCACTGCAATCATCACTTTACGTCGCTGCCACTACCACCTCAATCACTCTACTACGCCCACCACAACCACTACTACCACAAAAATTATATTTTAGTGCTTAATATGCAACACGGAATAAAAAATTATATTTTATTATTTTATTTTATTTTAGGAATGGAAAAAATAGAATGAAAAATTACTAAAAAAAGATCAAAATACCCATAAGTTTATATTGTAATTTAATTTATTCAATAAAAATATATGAAAAAAATTAATTTCTAATAACTTAATTAACTTTTATTTTGTCTACATTAGGGGTGAGCATTTGGTTCATCCAGTCCGATTAATTCGATTAATTTAGTTAATTCGACCTATTTGATTCGGTGAATAAATGTTCGGTTAAAGAAAATTAAAATTTTAGTGATCGATTAAAATTTTGATTAAAAATTAATTTAACCGAATTAATCAAATTAATCGATTCTCAAAACTACGTCGTTTTGATTAAGTAGATAATAAGATTCTCAAAACTACGTCGTTTTGATTAAGTAGATAATAAAATTAAAATTAAAAATATTTCAGTTTTTATTTTGATTAAGTAGTAATTAATAATTTCAATTAATTTTTATTTCAGTTAAAGTCGGTTAATCATAAATTTTAATTAAATTCGATCCTTTAATTAAGTTTTTATTTTCTTTAACTTCGGTTCGGTTAAGAATCAAAATTAATTCAGCCAAAATTGTTCGGTTAAAAAATTATTTCGGTCAAATTTGGTTAAGTAAAAAAAAATTTGATTAATTTATTTTAGTTAAAAATGTAACGTCCCATTTTTCTATTGAATCGAGTTGTTGCTTAGAGTCGAGTCAGGCTAATCCAAAACTCGGTTCGAGCTATTAGAGTCCAGAGTGGGGTAGAATGAGAGGTAATTGAAATCAGGAAAAGAAGTGGACTTGAAGGAAACAAAAAGATCAAAGTATAAGGATTAGGACTTGCTTGCACTAAATTATAAAGTTGAGGTCTTGAGTTGTACCATTTTGACACTTCACTTGATGGTACCATTTGGTAATTTGGTAATTTTCATATAAAAATCAATGACATTCTAGAGACTACCCGTGGATTCCATTTCATTTTCATTTCTTCATCCTTATCTTCATCTTCTTCCTCTCCTTTCCTCTTAAACTTTCCTTTCTCCATCACGTTTAATGGTGGTGAAGATTTTCATGGGAGTTAAACATTAATTCAACTTCTCTTCTATCCAAGTAAGTAAACCTTCTTGAATTTCATACGTGAATCATTTGGTGATATTTTTTAGATGATTCATAAGAATTCTCATGTATAGTATAGGAGAAGTGAGCTCAAAGGTAGAAGAAAAAGGAAGCTAAAGAGAAGAGCTTAAGCTTTTTGGAGTGAAGGTGTGCTATCTCTTTTAGTTTAATTCATTTGCTTGCATGAGAATTTGTGTGTTGTGTTGACAATGAGAAGATATGTTGCTTAATGTTGAGTAAGATGACTGAAAATTGTGAAAAAGCATGAGATGTAATGAATAAATGAAGTAGATATTGAGTTCATGCTGAAACAAGTTTTGCTGGAAAAGTTACCAGTAAATTCACCATGATTTTGACCCTATTTAATGATGGAATTAGGAAGTGTCAGTCATAGAAGAGTTATTTGTTCCTTTTTGTTCCTCTATGTGTTATCTTTCCATGGGTTTTTGAATCACCCAAATCGGAGTTGTAAATTGAGAGATATGACCAAAAGCGTACAGACTGCGCAGGCTGAAAAACACGACACAGGTTTTGCTGGAAAAGTAACCAGTAACTTCACCTTGATTTTGACCCTATTTAATGATGGAATTAGGAAGTGTCATAGAAGAGTTATTTGTTTGTCTATGTGTTAGCTTTCAATGGGTTTTTGAATCCCTAAATCGGAGTTATAATTTGAGAGATATGACCAAAATAGTATACACTGCGCAGGCTGGAAAACACGACGCGAGCTCGCGAATTTCATGTCGAGCTCGCGAATCTTGGCTGTAAACTCTCTGACTCTCATTTTGTGCTTCTCGTGCTCGTGAATTTCATTGTGCGCTCGCGAATCTCACCTGTAAACTCACTGACCCTCATATGTGCTTCTCGCGCTCGAGACTTTGCATGGTGCGCTCGCGACTTGTGTTTTGATGCTCTTTTGGACCTCTTTTTCTATGCAATTGTATTCCTTTTCTCAACTTGTATGCCTCCAATAAGGCAAAAAAGACAACATGAACCCACATGGGTATAAACACAAAATGAAGCATGCACATTTGATGTGAAACAACTTGACACAAGTTTGCCCGCTGGGCAGGCTATCAGCATACAGGTAAGCAGTAAGTTTATGAAATTATGAAGCATTAATTTCATGACACAAGCATGCAATGATGAACATTAAGCATGTGAAATAACATGGCACAAAGCATGCAAATTTATGACACAGTTACTTATGCATTGTGTTTATCTATTGGCATACCATTGAATATGCTCCATTGAGTTAGGTAGGAAACCATGTAGATAAGGCTATGTCGTGACATTAGGATTAGGCAGATCTTGTGCCCATACAGTTTGGTACTCCGGCTACAGGCCGTTGAGTGGAGTATGATTTATATATGGGCCATTAGCAGCCAAGCATACAGTTTCATCCAGTTTCATCCAGTTTCATACAGTTTTTCTTATCACTTCGGTTTCACTATAACCTTATGGAGCTATACAGTTATGTGGACTACAAATTGCATAATCATACAGTATAATGAGCAGCAAGTATGGATAATGAAAGTATCATGATATGTGTGCTTACATTCCATATGTGAGTACATGTTTATTGCTACATATGTGTAACATCCTTTCCCGGTCCACCCGTTAACTCAAATGAACCGAGCTGAGACGCTACAATCTGGTTGAACCTATGTCCTTTCATGCTAATGCCATCACACTTTGTTAAGTATAGTTGAATTATGAAGCACCACTGAGGTTTATACTCAGCGCTCGATTTTTATCCGCTAGGGTTGAAGATCGTGGTTTTGTTACTTGAAGACTTTGAAGAAGTACTATCAAAGGCAGAAGTTGACTAGTTTGGGAGTTAGTAGATTGATAGTTGTATAATTAAGAATTATGGCATGTATAATTATTATTTGTTAGAGCTTATTGTTATGGAAAATATAATCGGAAGCATGAAGTGTATAATTTATTAAGAGTTATTATTATTTCAGGAAATAACATCTTATTATATTTTTGGTGTAGAATGATTATATATTCCTTGAAAAAGGAATGTCTTTCGAATATTGTGATGGCACCTAAGTCTATTGACGAATATTAAAATGTTATTGAGGATTTACATAGTTATGAAAATATAGAAGTGTTGTTGTGTTATGATGATTATTTGGAGATGTTTGGAGTTTGGAGTTTAATTGGGAGTGTTTTGTATTCATATGTTTAGCGAGCTCAGTTTTTAAAGGGAAATTCTTACAGTATTTCTGTAGGATTTTTCTCGGCTTCAGGTTCATTAGGGTTAACGGGTGGACCGGGAAGGGATGTTTTACCAATTTAAATTTACTCAAATTGACTCAAATTGACCGAATTGACCAAATGATCACCCTTAAATTACATTTTTTAGGCTTACCTTCTTTTAATTTTTTAGTTCAAATAAATTTATAAATCTAAATGATCTTTAATAACTGAATATAATAAATACTTTTCAGTGCAGATATTTCTTTTATATTAGTAATGATGTGGTGGTGATAGTAGTTGTGGAGTGGTGATTGATGGTGTGATTGGTGGTTGTGATGGTGGTGGTGGTGGTGAAGGAGTGATGGTGAAGGAGTGGAGGTGGTATGATTGGTGGTGGTGTCGATATGATTGGTAGTGATAGTGTTTTAATTACATTACATATTTATAGACAAACATAAAAATGGAATGGTGATTACATTCCATAAATTTTATCAATTATATTACTAAACATAGTAATGAAATCTTAATTACATTACATTTTATTACATTTTTCATTGCATTGCAAGTTTGAAACATAGTAATGAAATCTTAATTACATTACATTTTATTACATTTTTCATTGCATTGCAAGTTTGATTACATTACATTGCATTACATCCAACCAAACAAAACCCAAAAATTTTCGTGACTATTAGAGCATCTCTAATGCAATCGTGGATTGTGGCTGATGTGTTTTAATAAATAGAAGTTGTAAAAGATGATATGACTAAATGTGTATTTGTAAATGTTAAATTCTAAAAATGGTTCTCCAATGCACAAAGAAAAAATCAGTTTCAGTGCGAGAAGAAATCTGAGCGCAAATAAAGGAGAAGGCATAAAGGAAAATAAAAAGAAGAAAAAAAATAAATAAATAGGAAGAAAAAGAACAAAAAGTTGAGTTACGCTATCTAATAGATCCTCTGAAAATAGAGAGCATGATAGAAAATGTTTATTTTTCTTTTTGACACATCAGACTCACAGATTAAATAGACAATAACGTTGGAAAAGCTTTTTATTGTTAACTTTTAATTTTTCAGACGGGGCAAATAAATTAATGCAATCAACGGTTGCATTGAAGCAAAGGCTTATTTGGTTTAAAAATAATTTATTTTTTGAAAATTACATTTCCAAGAAACGTAATTTACATATGTTTGGTATGCAAATATCTTATTGAAAACTAAATTGCTTTCAATTTACAAAAGACAATAACATTTATAATATAAATTTAAGTATATTTATATAATATAATAAATTGGTAAATTCATTACAATATTTTTTTTAATAACGTTACATTTAATTAAGGAAGTGTAACTTTCCTAGTCGTTTCTAGAAAAGTTACTTCACTTGTATAAGAAAAATTGGACAATAATTCAAACCTGTATAAATCATATATGCATTTACTACTAAACTGACATAGGCGTGCAAAATAATAATAATATATATCCTGAAGCGATGTTTGATATATTTTTTTATAGGTTTCCACTTTGGCATTTCTTTCCAATATTTATTATCGTATAACTATTATTTGCAATTAATTCTCATTAAAACACACGCTTTGAGAAAATGAAATAGCTAGTTTTATTATAATTTTAATTGTTTTAATTGTTGTAATTATTACTATCATTTAAAATAAAAAATAGTTTAATATCATAATTAAAATTTACAGAATACTCCCTTCGTTCCAGTTTAATAGCAACTTTTAATTTTTTTACATAGATTAAAAAAATGATTGAAACGTATCGATTTTCAATAAAATATAATAAAATATTTTAAATTGCCCATCTTAAAATTAAGAACTCCTTATTAATTTTGCTACAAAACACATAATAAATTAAATATGGGTAAAATTGAAAAAAATAAAAAATAATTAATAGACTCTCAAAATCCTAAATAAGCAAAATGGAACAAGATAAAATATCTATTTATTGTTATTAAAATGAAAAAGCAAGAGTATTATATTTATTAAATTAAAAATTTGAAATTACAATTTATAAAATTATTTATTTATACGTAAATTATATGAATATTAGAAAATAATTTTAATATATAAAAGTGAAAGATTAAAATTGAAATTTAATATTAAAAAATTAATATTTATTAGAGTTGTATATTGCACAATATATATAACTAGTAATTTAATAAAGTTAAATTTTAAAAATCAATAAATCATTTTAGCAAATAATAGTAGGAATGTGTTAATAATTTCAATCAAAATTCGGAAAAAATACTCTAGTGTATTACTCAAATAAAAGTTAAATATGCTTAAAATGTTTCCGAACTTGCAGGTGGCAACCAATGTCCAAATTAACAAATTACGTGTAACTATAAAAGCCCAAACACTTACACCGTGGCGTCGTCACTTTCAAGTACACGTCACGTCACTGACGGTGCAAGTTAACAACACTCAGTTTAGCTGCTCAGCCCCCGCGTTTTTGGCTTCTCATCAGGTTTTTAAAAAGAAGCGAAGTAGAAATATGTGCTGATTCCGACGAAAATTCTGGCCAAACCCTACCGGAATTCTCTTTCTCGGACAAGAAAGAATGGCAATGCCGTGCTATTTCGTTGCATTTTCAGCTCAGTAGAACTTGAATTTGTCGAGTAATCAAATTGATTAAGCATTTGATGGTTAAATTTAAAGCAATTGCTTAATTGTAATCTAATGGGGAGTATCAAGCCTTTGCCCGAGTCTGTTCGTAATTCGTTACGTTCTGGGATTATATTGTTTGATTTGACGCGAGTTGTCGAGGAACTGGTTTTTAATAGCTTGGATGCTGGTGCTACAAAAGTAATTGATAACTGATTGTAATTTAGGGCACAGCTTTTTGTTACTTATTTTCACTGTGTTGCCTTTTTTTTTTCCTCCTGAAAATATGGTCTGCATTTGCTAGTAATTTATTGCTTTTATTGGAAATGATGATAGTTTGTTGTTTCAGGTGTCTGTCTATGTGGGTATTGGAACTTGCTATGTAAAAGTGGTGGATGATGGTCAGTTCTGAATAGTGATTTTTTTGTATTGTATGTCCAGTTAGTTGGTAGTTGATTCTGTGGTTTTTGCGGTTGCAGGATGTGGCATCTCTCGGGATGGATTGGTCTTGTTGGGAGAAAGATATGGTACTTCTATTATCATTCATTTCTCTTGATTTATCAGTGAATTGTGCTTGCGGATGTATACTGAGTTGCAAATTATCCTTGTAACTATCTAAAACGTGTTTAAATTCTTTAAAATTTGTGAGGAATGTTTTTTGTTTCCCCTGAGGGTTTATCTTTATAATAAAGATTAATCAAAGGTTCCATTGGAAACTATCAACTACATTGTTTCTTTGATTGAAAGCTTATACAATCAAGAAAAAGTAATGGAATTAATCCATTTCGTAGCTGAGGCTTCATCTACCAAAAAAGATATGAAAGATCTAAAGGCTGGAATATTCTTAATTTATTAGATAGCCATGTGATGATGCTGGGGTGTTTGTAATGTGTGAACAGTGACATCAAAGCTTCATCATCTGGCTGATATGGATTCTGCTAACGAGAGCTTTGGTTTCCGAGGAGAAGCATTGGCTTCTATTTCTGATGTCTCTTTGTTAGAAATTGTTACAAAAGCTCGTGGGATGCCAAATGGATATCGTAAGGTCCTAAAGGTTAGTGTGGTTCAGCACTTCTCTATTTTTCTACTTTATTTTTCCTGTTCTCATCGTGAGTTAGTGTTATTGCTGGTATACACGCCAAAATGATTTACTTTACTCCCTTCAGGGATCAAGGTGTTTGTATCTTGGAGTCAATGATGATAGGAAAGATGTTGGCACAACAGGTTTTATGTTCTGTGCAGTATTGGATTTAGATCTCATGCATCACTATCTCTGGTTTAAGCATTTAATTGATTTAATCTATTTGACAGTTGTTGTTCGTGATTTATTTTACAACCAACCTGTTCGAAGAAAGTGTATGCAATCAAGGTGTCTTATTGTTCCATTTTTAATTCTATTGCAGTATTAATCGGTGGTTCACTCTTGCATTCTATTCCTCTGCACTGACTTGATGCTTTTCTCATTTGCTTTTCCAAATTGGAAGTCTCAAGAAGGTTTTGAACTCTGTCAAAAAATGTGTGCTTCGTATTGCGCTTGTGCGTCCAAAGGTTGCCTTCAAAGTTGTTGACACTGAAAAGTATGTTCTGGTCACAGTAGCAAGTTGGAGCTTCTATTATTATTATTTGTTTCTTGACATCATGTTTCATTCAAATGTAGTGAAGATGAGCTTCTTTGCACACGTCCTTCTTCTGCATTGTCACTATTGATGAGTGGCTTTGGGATTGAGGATTCTTGCTTCTTTCATGAATTGGATGTTAGCAATGGGGTCTTAAAGCTTTCGGGATATATATCTGGTCCATGTGATAGTTTAACCTTCAAGGTGCATTTTGTAACAATTTAGTTACTCGATTGCTCTCTTTTATGCTTTGTTCAGCCAACTGGTTTCTTACTGGAAGATATTCTTTTCTGCAGGCTTTTCAATATGTTTGTATCCTTAAGTCTATATGTTTAAACAGTGTACAGATTTCTGGGTTATGTTATCTGTGGTCAGAGAAGATTAAGTGGCATTTTCATTTTCGTTTAGACCTTGACAATTGCAGATATCAACTCACGGTTTGTCTGCAAAGGTCCAATACACAAATTGCTAACTCACTTGGCCACTAGATTTGAGCGTCTGGACTCTTGGAAAGCTAATAGCATGTCTGAAAAAGGAAAGAAGTGTAAGCCTCAAGCATGTCCAGCCTATATTCTAAATTTAAGTTGCCCTTCAGCTCTCTATGATTTATCTTTTGAGCCTTCAAAGACACATGCTGAGTTCAAGGTAAATTCCATGTCTGATTAACGTTGCTGTGTTCAGTATGACATTGTATGGTTTATAACACTGAATATTCAGATTCAAATTTGACATCCTTCAGTGCTTTAATTTCATATAGAGATTTTATGGATCTTTTCTTGTTGAATGCATTTTTGGAGTGCAATAGGGTTATGCAAACACTGGTTTGACGTTATTTACTTCTGGGGGAAAATAAATACCTACATCCTCTTTTCTCCCCTCTTCCCCCAGACCCCATCTGAAAGTCTAAATGATTTCTTACGATCTTCCTCGAGCAAGAAGCAACTTCCGTAGCAGATTTACATGGAACATGGTATTGATATAATTTCCTAGGTGCATAGGAGAATCTTGGTTTGTGTTAAGTATACAATCAAGGAGATGTAAATGGGCAAGATAGTTTTTTGAAATATCTAACTGTGACAGAAATGTTTTATTGCTGACCCACCTGATATGTAGAAAGATGCATACAAATTGCTGTAAGATGTTTCACTTTTTGGTTTTTCCCTTATTCTGCCAGTTAAAAAAGTTACAGATAATTTCCTCTTATGCATTTCAGGACAAAAAACTCTGCTACATATGAAATTTCTAAATTTCATTGTTATTTTAGTTCACAGTAACCTTGTGTTGTGGCCTGCCAGGATGAAATTTATCTTTGTCACAAGCCTTAAACTATGTTACAATTTCTGTTGACTTGTAAAATAAACTGGAGAATGCATATAACTGTAAGCGCGGTGTACTTAACCACAGATTTTGCGACTTTGCATGGGCTTTATACATAAAGCTAAAGATAATGCCAAACATATGCAACCGTGTATATATTTTTCTTCCTATGGTGGAAGTATTTCTAGAATACAATGCTGCTAAAAGTTCATTGTAACTAGGTTCTATGCTTAATGCTTCAGCTTGTTACTTGGAAGTCACTTTCGTAATTAAAGCTTTATGTCATTGTAATGTAATTCTTGTCCAGGAAACCTATTACTGTCTCTTTGCAATGCTGAGATTCCCCAAACCGTTTTTGCCAGGATTGGATGCATATACTTGATTTTGTCGAGAACTCCATTCAACAACTATGGAGGGAAAAAATGATCTATGGTATCCTCAAAGATTCCTGTGTTGCTGTATATGATCCTTTTTTTCATTTGTTGGTTTCTGATCTTTTTCCTTTTAAATGTTTCTAGCAGAATCCTTTGCAACTGGTACATTGAGGAAAGACAAAATCTGGAAGGAAGGTTGTTATGCTATCAATATTCCCACTTACTTTCTCCTGCTGTATAGATTAAATATATTTTCATTTTTGCAGAAAACTGTTGTTTTACCTATACCTCAGGCTTCATGAATTACGAAGGAAAGAGACAGTTCCACATCTGAAATGTTTTTTTATATCTAGATTTTCTTGATGCAGATGTTTCAGAGAATTTTGAATTTGCAGTAAATAAGTGTGAGATTCAAAAACATAAGTCCTCTCATCACCATGCTTCCTCCCATTTCAAGATACCAGCCAAAGAGGTTGGCCATATTTATAGCAGGGGGAGTGACAAAGTTCCATTTCAAGGGTTTTGCATGAATATTTCTGAATTCAAAGAACAAGAAACTGATACAGAATTTTTGTGTCATAGTGACTACACTTTGCAATCATGGAATGGCTACCTTTCTAAGCATGCATCCACGATAAACCAGAAGAGTGACAATCATCTATGGACATCTGATGACAACTTTTTGTCATCAGGTGATTATTTCCTGGAAGATAGATTCACAGCTAGACAAAGATCTAGTGATTATGAGCAGGGCGATACCTTGGGCTTAGAGTGGCAGAGTGAATCCCCTAAAATAACATCTGTTGAAATAAAAGAATTTTCTGGGGGTCCATTTTCTTTAGATTATCACAAATTTGGTGATGAATTAGAGGTTAGCAAGAACAATGAAAAACCTTTTTTAAAGAGTTGCTCCTCACAAAGAAGCATGCCACTTGATAGGTCTTTGTTTAAAAGTGAGGAAGGTCTTGAATTTCCAATTAATGACTTCAAGACCAAAAGAAGACGGGTTTGCTTTGATGAGAAGGTTCACATTCTAAAGATTGACGCCAGGGACCACAGATTTGATATCATTCCAGGGGCCATGCAGCAGCATGAGGCAACATGCTCTCAGAAGTTTCCTGTACTTAGCATGGGAGTTGACATGCCTGCAGGTTTTGATAGTCTGTCTAGAGCTTGTGAGAAGTCATTTTCATTCCATGGAAAGCTTTGTGCTGAAGAGAAGGGTCTTGGTTCAGATTCATTTGTACCATTTGATAGCTCTGTTTCATGCTACCAGTCTGGAAATTCTGAATGGCATTCTCTCACTACAGATGCATTATTTAAAAAGACATCTTCTGCCGTGGAGCATTCTTCAGATGACAATTCTTATGAATGGAGAGCAAGGTTGGGTAAAAGAGAAAGTTGTTGGCATTTTGCGGATGGTGAAGAAACAGAGGAAAGCTGTAGTTATAAAATGGCATCAAACAGATCTAATGAAGATAATTTCATCTCAAAGCATGCAAGCACTATGTCAGATGTTAAGGATCATTCTGCAACTCCTATAGATTTCAGCAAACCCCTCCAAGGATACAATTTAAATGATGAATTATCTTTAGAACATTCTGATGTATCAGTTTGTGAGACAGAGTGGTTACAGTTAGATTTGTATTCTGGAGGTCTCAAAAGTGATGACAAGTATGAAAACCAAGAAAATCAACTTAGATGTCGAGATTGGAAACAAGGTAAATTTCCTAAAGAAAGGTGCAGAAGAAGTCGATCAGCTCCACCATTTTACAGAAACAAGAAGAGGTTTATTTCTTTGAGCCATCATTCTACGATGAAAGAGGGAAATGCTCAGTTGTTCCATGATGGCCTTACTTCTTCAGGTATTCTTAGATTTCACTTTATATCTTAAGTATACTGATGACAGTTTAACTAATATGCCTATACTCTTTCTAGAAACTGATGACTTGGAGCATCTAAAGTTTCAGCCAAATTATGTAGCGAATTCATTGTTTTGCACTAGGTATTACAACTTTGTGTTCCTCTTACTCATTGTTGTCTGATGCCCCAAAAAATATATCTAATCTCTTTCTGAGTCCTGCTGTCAGGTCCTATTTGAAGAATGGACAAGACACTGTGCTGGAAATGAAGGAGAGCAAAGCAAATGAAAATTGCATACACTCCCAATCTCTTTGGTCTCATGATTCTCCAGTTGAAGGTAACTCCACCTTTGAAAATATTTATGGTTATGATTGAAGGTTAGTATGGAGTGAAATACAATTCTTGAGGAAAAGGTTCATGCATTTTAATAATAAGATTTTTTTTTCTTTGATCAAAGAATAAATAATAATAAGAATATTAAGAAGCATAAAAAACTTTAACTATTATTTTACTAATATCTATGTGGAATATTTTGAAACCCTGACTGTCCATAATATTTCAAACTATATTTAGATGTTTTTTATTGGTTGATAAGAAACACATGTACTTGTATTTTTGTCATATCAAATATTTTATAGATCACTTTAGCTTTTGGTTTTTTTGCCACAACTAACATATTAATTCTATAATCAACAACACCACACCCAAATGTAGTTAGGGTAACGCATTTACATGTGGCTTTGTGCATCTGTGCATGCCTGCTCCTTTGCGTCAACAGGTAAAAACATACATTCAAATATACATATTTGTGTATTTTCAGGAGTATGTATGGATGAGTGGTTACATTTTCATGCTAACTTTTTAGGTCTTATTCCAAAGCAAATTCAGTGCTCAACTGATTATGGGACCAAATGGCGGAATGGTAGTCAGCAAGTTGCAGTTGAGTATTTTTTGCAACTTTTGAAGGATTTATTCAATATCTTTCGTAACTGTTAAACCCTGATCGATCATAAATCTTTTTCTCTTTCATGCAGTGCAACAACACATCAAGCAATGTTGACAATCAGCGTAACATCCTTGATATCTCTTCTGGATTCTTGCACCTTGCTGGCAATTCACTAGTACCAGAATCTTTCCATAAGAATTTCCTAGAGGATGCCAAAGTTCTTCAGCAGGTGGACAAGAAATTCATCCCAATCATGGCTGGTGGGACACTTGCTGTTATAGACCAGGTGAGTTGCTGTTATAGGCTGAATCAATTGCATCTTATTTCTCGAAAATGCTTTTTGTACTTTTTGGATTTTAGAGAGGGTGAATCTTCCTGCAATAGTTTTAGACAGCAGAAACTGCCTCCTTATGATTTAGGAAGCCTAGAACACTGGGAAACCTTACAATTTTATGTAACCATCTTGTTGCTCTATAATGGTGCCTTTGTTTAGTAATAAGCTCAAAATAAGATCTTACATGGATTTGACCCAAATGTCTCTAATAGAATTATAGTTACTGATCACGATGAAAAATTGTTAACGGATGTGTTTGTCGATAATAAGCCATGATTTCTCAATTTCTTATGCATGTATTCCTTTAGAAGCATACAATTTTGATTTCTACATAAACATATGCATTTACACAACTTCCACCTACATGGACCCGCAAGCTGAAGAGAGTTTTGAGTTTTTGGCAGAATTCATGACTTTGATACTGGTGTTATCTTACAGCATGCTGCTGATGAAAGGATTCGACTGGAAGAGCTTCGTCAAAAGGTTAAAAATAGATATTTAAATTGTGCATTTGTTGTATATAAGACGACTTAGAGACTACCTTAATGCCAGGTAATATCTGGGGAGGGAAGGACAATTGCCTATTTGGATGCTGAAAAAGAGCTGGTATGACCCTTTTTACCCAGGCCATGTTAGATTATGCTGCATATCCTGGTGTTAATGAGAGTTTTATGAGTTTGAGATGACTATGAGCTCTGTGATAACAGATCCTTCCAGAGATAGGGTATCAGCTACTTCACAGTTATGGTGAACAAATAAGAGATTGGGGATGGATCTGCAACATTGAAGGACAAGGTTCTGGCAGCTTTAAGAAGTAATTTCAATGACTCCCTCCATCAAAACTTTCATAGTATTATGTAAAGAAAATTGTTCACTAATTTAATTTGCAAATGAAACTGAGACTTATCCATTTGTTGGCAATGAACTTGGACATGAGTGTAACTGACTGAGGTGGACTCCATGTGTGTCTCCATTATTTCTAGGCTGTAAAAGATGTGAAGTAGCTAAGGAAAGATGTGAAGTAGATAAGGACTTTTACCAGCTTTATCTCTTCATGATTCACCCATTTTCTTAGCAAATTCAGCATTATTGTTAACTATAATGGCTTCTGGTTCTTGTAGGAATCTGAATATTCTTCACCAGCGACCAACTATGGTCACTCTTCTTGCGGTGAAGCATACTCCTTTTTTCCTTGGAACTTCATCTATTTAATTATTTTTTCTCTTGAAAGGATGTTGGAAGAATATTTTCTCACTCTATCATATGTTATTTCGTATGAATGACATGCAGGTACCCTGCATTTTAGGTGTCAATTTATCCGATGGTGACCTGTTAGAATTTCTTCAGCAGGTAATACTGATTTTGTCATCTAGAATCTTACCTCTCCCTCCCTGCCTGCCCCCAACCCCAACCTTCTCCTCCTCCATTCCTCTAACAAATTCAATGCCTTCATCACTCATGTTCGTATTACAATTTGTAGCTTGCTGATACAGATGGCTCTTCTACAATGCCTCCATCTGTTATTCGTGTCCTAAATTTTAAAGCATGCAGGGGTAAATGCTTCATCAAACTGAAAACTTTTTTTTTTTTTTATTTAATGGATATAATTTATTTAGGACAGTAGAACCTGTCCTTCAAGGAAATTTGTATTGATCTGATGAACTTTGCTTTTCTTGTCATTTCATTATTCAGGTGCAATCATGTTTGGAGATTCTTTGCTACCATCAGAATGTGCACTTATTGTTGAGGAGCTAAAAAAGACTTCACTTTCTCTGCAAGTAATATGTTTAGATGCACATTTCATAGAACTTTGAGAACTGAACTATTTTGTGGCTCATGTTGAATAACAAATGATTTTTTTTTTTTTTAAACATATAAATGAAGTGTGCTCACGGGAGACCAACAACTGTTCCCCTTGTCAACTTGGTGGAACTTCATAAGCAGATAGCTAAAATTGCAGCGTTGGATGATAGTTCAAGTGAGTCGTGGCATGGGCTACACCGTCAGGAACTAAGTTTAGAACGAGCGGCACAGCGTTTAAGCACAGCTAGAGGTTAGTGGTTGATGACAAACCGATTACTGCTTTTGCACATTCATTGCAGTGAATTTGTGCTGCTATAAGTAGAGAAACATTGATTGTAAAGTCATTCTTTGTTGACTAGTAGTGTGTATAACTCAGACATATTAGTCATACAAATTATGTCGGCAGATTCCACTTTGTGTATTGAGAGAGTGGATCTTCTTCTTCCATTGATTCTGTATTCACATGTGATGCTCAAAATTCTGTTTCTTTTTGTTCTCTTGAATTTATTTTTGGTCAAAGCAAATATGGAAACACCCCTGACAGAAGAATTGCTGGTCCTATGACGGTACCGACCTACGATGCATGGAAATTTCTAGATATGAGCGATTTCGCACATGCGTTTTCATATATAAAATATCATTTTCTATGTAAAATTATATTTTAAATATCATTGTTCCCGTATCACTCCGGCGTTCCGCAGGACCACATCTAACCTGCTGTGAGTGCTCAAACAGGACTCTGCCTGTGTTCCAAATTGGATGGCACTAACACCAAATCTTTGAAAACATCAATCATTTTAGGCTTGTAGATATTATTTTGTGCGTACTCATGGAAAATGGTTCTCTGTTTTTAGTTTTCTGAAACAATGAAAAACCGGAAACAAAAAATTGAAAAGTCTCCACTTATTAATAACAAAAATAATATTTCAATTTAATAATAATTTTTTTTCATAATTTTCATAAATTTAGATGTCATAAAACATATTTGGAAATATTTTATTTACATTTTTTAAACGTAAGAATATCATCAATATAATTTTTTTAAAAAAATAAATGTTATCATTATAAATATATTTTTTATGATAATAAAATTGATTATATATTAATGTATAATAGAAAATTAAAAAATAAAAATGTTTACTTAAGTTATTTAAGTATCCTTTCTTTATAATTCTAATGACAAAAAAAAAAATTTAATGAAAAACAATTGTGAAATATGAATTTTGTTATAAAGAAAAATTATGAAAAAAAACTTATATTAATTTTTTTAAAATCTTAATTAAATTTTGGAAATCTGATGGATTAGAACATGAAATTTCATTTTTCAATTTTCCTAGAAAGCTTTTTTAGAAAATTACTCTAATTTTTTACAAGTAAACAGGACCACACTGTTTTTTTTTTTTTTTTTTTCAAGAAACAGGACCACACTAGTTTTTTTTTTTTTTTCATTTTTCATCAAATAAATGATCAAAATATTTACCATAAATTAATAAAGCTTAAACTTTACAAATTGTTTATATTTTATTCCCAGGACCCAGGGGACTGTGTGTAACCAAACTCCAACTCCCAAGTATTTGGTTGATGCAGGGAACGGAAGTTATAATTAATTACATTTCAAATACTGTTTTTTTTTTTTTTTTTCATCAATAAATGATCAAAATATTACCATAAATTAATAAAGCTAAACTTACAAATTGTTTATTTTTCCCAGGACCCAGACTGTGTTAACCAAACTCCAACTCCCAAGTATTTGGTTGATGAGTGGAACGGAATATAATTTAATACATTTCAAATATAAAGATGAAGGTTATTTGCAATATAGTTTGAATTTGGGAACTCACATCTCTAGAGGTCACACTTATATAATCATACAGCAGAAGGTTAAAATATAAAATCAAGTCCATCGCCAAACTTTTATCTTAGTTATATAATCATACAGCAAGTCTCAAATGCTGCAAATTTGTATTACTGGCTATAAAGCATATATTAGAAGCTCAAATTCACTAACAAATTAGCATATTCCTGAACATAAATCTATTAATCACAAGCCAAATAAGATTATAATGGGGTACAGGACTGTCCATTCTCCAACTTACAACCATCATCAAAACTATAACCAACTCTGCTATACTTTAGATCTCACAAAGGGAGTGAATTGTCTTTGGTTCTCATGTTCCATTTGGAAAGACATGATTTCTAGTCAAGACATTCATTTGTCAAACAAATTAGCATCAACAGATAGAAACATGTGTCATCCTCCCATGCCATAGTCGTCTGCCTGATCGTAAAGATTGTAGCTTCCTGGCATTCCCATCTTTCCAGTTAAATGGTCATCTCCTGCATTAACATTCCAATAAACAATATCACTAATTTTGATTTCATGGTTCCTATATTTACTCTCACACAGACAATTTTAAAGGACAAGTGAGCAAAGTAGTGCTAAAACCAGTTCAGATGGCACAACTAGTGCTAAAAAAATTAGCAGAGCACCGACACAGTGCAAAGTACACAATATCCATGATTCAGTAGAAATATAAAACTACAAGCAGGATAGGATTGCAGAATGTACACCTAAGTCGCTAGACAGAGATGAAAGAGAAATTTAGATATTGTTATGTATTCATGTACCATTCTTCAATACCTAAAATATAGCATGTGGTGTACTGCAATTTAATCAGGAGGCAACAATAGAATTATCATGCAAGGCACAGTAAAGGGTTCAAGATTACTAATATTTCCATTTTTATTACTATGGTTGTGCTGACTGTTATCTAATCTGTCTCCCTGACCATGTTTACCCTACAACTGTGCCATATAATAAAATGTAGGGTTTCTAGGTTGTAGGGACCGTCAGCAAAAGAATATGCAAAAGTTAAAATGTCTACATACTTTGGTTTGGTAACACACCCAAAAAATTCAGTTCAGAGCTTATCTCAGGGCTCTGGAAGCATAGATCTTCAACCCTTGGAGGGGTTTGTTGGGAGTGAAATATTTCTGGTTTTGTTTTCTTCTCATTTAGCGAGTCAACTTCTGTTTCAACTTCTGATTCAGCATTGTTAGACGAAGCAACCAATTGTTTTCTTTTAGATCGTGCGCGTCTATTTTGAAACCAATTATACACATTTGATTCAAAAATTTGTCCATGCTGGCTGAGTTCAGAGGTTATCTCTTTAATCTTTTGCTTGCTTGGAGTTCCATTCCCCTGATCAAAGATACGCTCCAGAATCTGAAGCTGCACTGGTGTTGGAGTCCATCGCTGTCTTGCAGTGATCTTGTGTCCACCAGAAGCCATTAATGGGTCACAGTACAGATTTCCCAGCCTGCCTCCTGTAGAGAAATGGAATAAGTATTTCAAGTTTTAACATAAGTTATAGAGGTATAATCATTTGTCTTATCCCCTAAATTAAGGGAGGGATCATAGACTGATATAAGCATATAAGGGACATTCCAAACTAAGAAGACAGACAAGATTAGAACTTTTTAATTTGCTTGACAAATATGTAGCATATGACATTTTGGTGAAATGAATTTCATAAGCGATTACCTTCAATTAAAAAAACAATTTGACACTGTTCCCTTTCAATTGGAAAATCAAACATAAGAACTAAAAAAATAAAGCTAGAACCTTCGCACAGGGAAAGACCAAAAATTGTAAGCAAATTGTATCAACCACTAAATATAATCTGATCTATGACAGCACAATTAGGGGTAGTATGTTTTGCAGTTCAGTACTGACACTGAGCTCAGCTTCCACTAGAAATGATAAAAAATCAAACCGACCAGACTATAAATCCAAATCTCAGTTGTTCATAGGTCATCTCTAGCTAAGTTGATAACAAATCCCTGCAATGGAAGCAAATACTAGAATTGGACCCAATTGTACCAAAGGAGAAATTGGAACAAAAGTTAAATGATGCATACGGACATTGAAAAAAACAAATCAATCAGGTATAATCAAAAGTTCCAATTATACACAGAAATGTACAATTTCAATTCTTTTTAAAAGGCCCAAACCAGAAAAGGGAAGATGAAAATTAAACCCCAAACATCTGAAATGGAGGATTATCTCAATGGAAAATGACAAAATAAAAGTACAGCAGAAAACCCTTACACAAAAAACTCACAAATGAGCCAAAGAAAGCTGATCAACCTTAAATTCCCCAACAGAGAAAACAAACACAAGAATTTGTCAGTTCTATTAGTATCAAATTTTAACTATCATAGCAGAAAGAGAGCGAGAGAGAGAGAGAGATCAAAGTACCTGCAAGATCTTGCTGGGCAGAAAGGGTCTTGTGCATCTCAACAAGTTGTTCACAAATAGTGGCATAAACAGCAATCTGTTTCCTAAGAGTTTCAAGTTGCTCATCAGTCATCACCTTCACATACAACATTCCTCCATTTCCATTCCCATTAACACTATTGTTGCTCATATTACCATTATTTCTGTTTTCAACTCTTTGATTTTGATTTTCTTGCTGTTGTTGTTGATTTTCTTGATTATTTTCCCACTCCATTCTTTTTTTCCTCACACCATTAACATCTCTCCCTCTCTCTCTCTCTCTCTCTCACACGCACACTTACAGAGAAAACAGAGAAAAGAAAAAGAAAAGAAAACAAAAGAAAGTCAGTAGTGAACAGTGGAGAATGGTAAGGAGAGAAATAAAAGAGAAAGAAACAGACAAAGAAAGTGAATCCTTGGTCTTTGGTTTGGTTTGGTGTGATACACACAATAGCGTATTTTAGCAACTCCATCCATCTCGTGCCTGTGTTCTTTTATTTTCTCTGCTAATGAGAAATCAGCGAAGCTCCATTAAGGCTATAATTATGTTAATGACATATTTTATTTTCCCTTTCTTTTATTATTATTTTATTTAATATTTTTCCTTCCAAATGATTTAAAATATAAAATGTTGAATTTGCTTTCTTTTGTTCATCACTCCCATATAATACGGCATAGTTTTTGGTAAGCTAATATTTAAATGATTAACTATTTTATTTATATTAACTCGTAAATAAATAAATAAATAAATAATATCGCTCTTAAAATTTCAAATGAATTAGAACTAGAATTTTTTTTTTTTTTTTAGTGTAAAAAGAGGGATTTGAATAGAGAGAAGGAACATGGGCTAAAAGGGCCCAACCCCCAATATAAAAAACTTCAATTTTTAGTGTTAAAAAAAATTTTAAAAAAAAATATTTTAATTTAACCCCTTATTAATCAAAATTATGATTTAACCCTCTTTAATTTCTTAGACTGAGTTTGTCCTCAAATTCGAACCTAATCTATTATCAGTTTGTGTATATAATTACGGGTCACGATGTATTTTTTATTCTCAATATTTTTTCGTTAGTAACATACATTATCTGGCAAGATATTATACATTGATAAATATAATTTATATAAGAAAGTACTAATAATTTCCTATTAAATGAGAAAATGATATTGGAAACTAAAAATATTTAAATAATTTGGTGGAGGAAAATGAATATATTAATAAAAAAGATGTTTTATTTGGTAAGGTCAGCAATAGCATGGATAGGATAGTAGAGTAGTTAGGATTAGGAGTTGGTAGTAACAAATCCCAAACAAAGTCTCTGACAGAAAGAAAGAGAAGAGAACATTCTGTACAGTAGGTGAGTGCAGTCTCTGCCATAGATTTCCACTTGTCTTTCATTTATTACTCCTTCCTTTTCGTGTTAGGTCCCCAACCTCCCCAACTGTTCACTCTATGCATCTCCACTAATTTCTAAAGAGGAAAATTACGCTCATCCGCCTGGTTTGGGAAAAACATTTAATTTGTTGCTATCTTTTAAAAACTAAATTAAAATGTCTATATAGTTTATTTTTATTGTAAAGTCATTTCGTTTAATTTTTGTATCACTCTGAAATCTTAATGCCCGCTCTCCAATCCCATTGGTTAATGATGCACGTAAGTATGATGATATTGGGCTATGCAGCTCTTTTGTGTGGATCATTATTATCAGTAGCATTTCTAGTAATCGCATTTCGAAAAATTATAAGAATTACTGTTAATTTTTCGAAATATGATTACTAGAATATATTTTTCGTTAAGTATTTTATAAAATGACGAAAATACCTCTTTTGTATTTAAAAACAAGGACTGACTAGTTGATTATTTGAACTGAATTAAAGGGTTCTGTCGTCCTAAAATTAAGATTCATTTTTTTATATTTTCAAATCATAGAGACTGTACTGTAATTTTTCTAGTATAATATTTTAGTATCTCTTTTTTTATCTCTGTATTTTTTTGTTGACCTAATGTGAAAGATGCAAAAATTGGGTAGAAACAGAAAGACCTAATAGTGTAACAAAAGAAATATATAGGGACAAATTAGTACTTTAAAAAAGATAGGGACGGACTACTTATATTTTGCAAACCACAAGAAACGTACTGTAATTTTTCATTTCTAAAATCTTATTTATTAAATATTTGAACTTATAAAATGAAATACTCCGAATTTTTATTTTCAAAACTTTTAAATTTTTATTAAATCAAAAATTTCGATTTTTGATTATATGGGCTTTAAACACCAAACAATCTTTCTAAAATCTTATTAATTAAATTATTTTGAACTTTATAAAATGAAAACTCCGAATTTTTTATTTTTTTCAAAACTTTTAAATTTTTATTAAATCAAAAATTTCGATTTTTGATATATGGGCTTTTAAACCCAAACAATTCTTAAATTTGGGTCCAAGAGTGTGGAGTTGGGCCCAAGCCCAAATATATTGTCAGAATTTTCGATTTTGAAGAACAGTTAAAAATTTTCAAGAAATTTAATATGAAAGCAATTTAATCTGTTATGAATATATATTAAATTAAATTATCCTTAAAAATCAAAAATATCATAATTTTCATATTTTATTTATATTGAGTGAATGGAGAAAATATTATGGAAAACCCAAACTAAATAATTTAAAATAAATTCGAACCAGGCCTTAAAACCCAAATTGATCTTTCGAAAACCAAAAACTTTTTTTTTTTTTCTTTTTCTTTTCTTCTTCGGGCAGCAGCGTCGACCCACCCTCCCCTTCTCCTCCTCTCGTTTTTCCGACCGCCTGAGACCAGCGCCTCCTTGCCACGCTACCGCCTCACCGCAGCTCTGGCCTCTCTTCCTCTCTCTCTTTTCTTTTATGGCGAACACAGCAACCGCAGGAGACTCAATCGGGAAATTATGTCGCAACTCACTCCTCGATCTTCCGGCGACTGCAGCTCTCTTCGGTTGACTCTAGCTTCGTCTCATCGACGGCGAAGAAAAAAAAAAAAAAAAAAAAAAAAAAAAAAACCTAAACAATTCTAGAAACCTCCCCCTATCCCATTTTGATCGGTACTATCGCGTTACCGCTTTCTTTTATTTTTCCGGCGAGATCAAACGCAAGCCGATGAGACTGAACCTTCTCTCATTGCCAGCAGCCTTTGATACTCCATTGTTGTCTCCTCCAGTCAAGCTATCGCCGGCTGCAGTGGGTTTTGGCTTTGAAGTTCACTTCCGGTCACTTTAATCGAAAAATCTCAGTCTTTCGGTGCGTTTTTCAGCTGGGTAAGTCGGATTTCAACCTTCTTTGATACATTTAGTGAATTGTTTGAACAAGAGTATAAATTTGATGCATGAATCAAGTTGGGTAGAGTTTAAATTCCTAAATTTGCTACTGTTTAAGTGTAAATAACTAGAAGCTTTGATTTTACTCTTTAAATTGATTTATAAACTGAAATTCCTTATACAAGTGAATAAATTATTTAGTTTAATGCAGATTTTGGTGAAAGAATTGATAAACCTGAAATGGCAGCTTGCCATTTTAACTATTTAGTTGAATAATTGTTGTGGTATAATGCAAACGAAGTTATAAATTAAGTTGTTGAGGGGAAATGGGTTAAGTAGCATATAATGTATAAATTTAATCAATAACTTAAGATTTTTTTGATATAATGGCAACTTCTAGTTAGGGGAAATCATGGATTTTTGCTTGAACCAAGTTTATATTGTTAGAATAAATGCGCTCTTCGTAACTTGTTGTGGATGTAGAGGTTCGAATGACTATGTTTGATAAGAATTGAGAAACTTTGGGCAGTGGCAGCAGTTATTTTCAATCATTTATATAGATTATTGCAGGTGAGCTATTGTTATCCACTAAAAATCGATGAAAACTATTGCGAGCGAGACACCTTAAATTTGAGACTTTCATTTTTTATACTAGTGAAAAAATCAATCAGACCACACCATTTTCTTTTTAAATGATCATCTTAGTGATAGAATGATGACTTCAAATAAATTTTTAAGTTTTTTTCGTTGCCTTTGAAATCTAATTGTAAAATACATTCACCAATCCTGTTTTCACATAATTACATTCTTTCAAATATTCTAATTTGTGAACTTTATGTCTATCACAAGAGTCATCAGTTCAAGGAGTTCTTGAACCTTTAGGAGTTGGTATTTTCGCTTGGTAGAAAATAACACTATTCAATATTCGTTTAATTGCATAAATTTATTTCTGAATTTGACCCTTTTATCTTTATAAAAATTTAATAACGCAATTTTTAAGATCAGACTTGGAACATAATTGGAGGTTATTGTAAGTTGTAAATTAATGGTTGAGTGTTGACATTGTTATTTTGGAAGGAGGATGGGATTTTAAATTGATTGATTGCCCAGCGGATGGGCTGTGTGCATTGATTTGATAAATATATAGTAATATTGTGATATTTGAGCAGGTAGATAGTCCAATTTTTAGGGGATGTGCTGCCGAAATTTCAATAGGACCTAGACTAGTTTTAATGAATGACGTGATTAAATAAGTTCATTTAGATTAATTCTATAACTTGGTACATAATAAATAGAGTGCTCTGATTATTTATTATCTTTATTACTCATTTAATTATTTACATTATACTCATTTAATTATTTAGACATATTTATTTATTTATTTTATTATTGTTAATAACTATTTATTTATTTAATTTGCATTGATTTTGGATGTTTAGATTGTGGCATTGCATTACGAATGTTTAATTGATTAATATGTCTGCATTTTGAATTGTGCAATGTTTGGATTAAGTTGTGTTTGTGATAATTGCTTATACTTGTTTGTGTGAAGTTGGGGATGAAGTGGACCACCGTGGGTTTTGAGGAACGGTCTGTGATATGGATCCGAATATTAATAGTGATATATGTGACCGTCGGCGGGAGAAATGGGAGATCGGCCGCCCCCCGTGGCGACTGATGAAATGGATTATTATGTGGAAAACCACAGGATGGCTTCTTGTTGTTGCGCACCTGATAATCTAGATTTGATTGTACCCGCAGGGTGGCCTCCTTGTTGTGAGTACTTGATGATTCTAGATTGGATGGAGACCACCGGGTTGCCTCCTGTTGTATGAAAAAGAAAGAGAGATATGGAAATACAATGAGAGGACTGGTCAGTGAGATTAGACCAGTTGGGCCCGTATGGGATCGGCGTCCCCTGGTGCAACATGTAGAGAGGGAGAGCCATTGTGAGGGACGGCTCGTTGGGGTTTCAGGTGGCGCGGGGGTTTCGGTGACGCCACAGACCAATTTCCACGTGATGTGATATTAATTGTGATTACTGGTGATATGTCATTTGTGTGACTGGCTGTATGAGCATATAACTAGTCGGACGACTAGATTAATATGTTTACACATTTGTGTGACTGCGTGTGTGGTGT